TAAATCTTATGATATATCCAAGATTAAATTTAAAAATATTCTATTCTATTTTTAGAATTACTTATATATTTCAAAAGTTAAAGTATGATTACATGTTTTTTCAAGCTTATCATGACTTTCTAATAGCTAGATATTTTGGATACAATAAGACTTTAGAAATAATATCTATAGATTTTTAGTAGCATCAAATGTTGAAGATAGTCAAGACTTTGTGCAATTATGTGACATTTGTTTAAAATCAAAAACTCCTTGTTATTGACCTTATGGACTTCTTTAGCCATTATCTATTTGAAAACAATCATAATCTTTTGTTTCTATGAATTTTATCACAAATCTTTTAGTTTCAGATTTTTATGATATATATTTATAATAATAGATCATTTTTCTAAAATAGTATATTTTTTACTATATACAAAATGTATCACAAGTAAAAAAATAACTAAGATTTTTCTTAATAATATCTATCACGACCATGGATTATCTAAAAATATCATAATAAATAAGGAAATTAAATTTCTATTAAGATTTTAGAGAATTTTTTTCAAGATTTTAAAGTAAACATAAAAATAACTTTGAATTTACATCCTTAAATTGATGGTCAAATGAAAGAAATGAATCAAGTTTTGGAGTAATATTTGAGGTGTACTATCAACTACCAACAAGATGATTGAATAATTTTTTTGCCATTGATAGAATTTATTTATAATAATATGATACATTCTTTTATTTAATAAATACTTTTTTTTGCCAATTATGGTTATCATCTATAACTTGATACTTTTGATTTTTCAAAAGGTGATAATCTTAAGCTAGAAGATTTGAAAAATTATTTATTCAAGCTACATGCAATAATAAAGACAAAAAAAAAAAAAAAAAAAAAAAAAAAAAAAAAAACTCATGAATGACAAAAGATCAATGTAGATGCCTATCACAAAGAACAATCTCAATTCCATATTGGCAACAAGGTATAGTTACTTTTTTGTAATATCAAGAATATTTACTCTTGTAATAACTTGAATTTTTGTAGATTGAGATCATTTCTTATTTGTGAAGAGGTCAATATAGTTGCTTATTAATTGTACCTATTGGAATTTATAAAGATCCATCTTATATTCCATGTCTCTCTTTTTGAACTATATAAAATAATATATATACTAGAAAGATGACAAATGACACTTTTTCATATTCTACTTTCTATCTTTGTTTGTAATTTTTATATATCTCTAGCACTTAAAAAATGAAAAACCAATGGCTTTCACATTTAATTCATTCCTATTTGTTGACTTTTCAAACAAGATATTATAATTGTGACAACCTTCAAAATGATGCAATAGAAACAAAGATCTTTAAGAACGACATGTTCTTTTTTAAATAGATAGTAAAATATATTGCATTTGATATAACAATCTTAGAAGAGACTTCTAATGTTTAATAATTTTATTAGAAGTAGGAATGATTTTTTATAATATTACTAATATTTTATTTGAAAGGAGTTACAAAAGCCTCAATAATAATCAAATAACATAGTAGTCTTCATGCTTTGATATAGGATACTATTAGTAACTGAGAGGATCTATCAATCAACTTCAAAAAAAATAAAGATCAAAATATGTAGCAAACACAATTTGCCACATCTTCGATTTCTTCAATATATGTTTGTTTCCACTTATGAAACTTATTTCTAGAGGAAAAAGTAATATCATAGACATATATATTTATTTAAATAAGAAGTATTAGATAGAAGATAAATATAGATAAATTTAATATTATCTTATGATAAAGATTTTTAGAAGCTTTATAGATGCATATTTGACTTTATACATGTTTGTAGTTGATTAATAGGTTAGAAACTTGGCTAACAAATTAACCACATGTTACATGTGTTGATAGCTTGTAGTATAATCTAAAGATATGGCATACATATAGCAAAACTTATCTTGCAAATTAAGAGAAGTGTCTTATAAATTATATATGTGTTGGAGGTTCTATGGAATTTTTCCACATAGCTCTTAATTAGATAGTATATATGGAGGCAATAGTGAAGTCTTCTTTATTCTTGTCAGTGCTTTTTTTTTATTTTTGATCTTGTTTGAAGATACTTTAGTTTTCTTGTCTTAAGCAATAGCTATTTTAATTCAATATTATATCCTCTTTCAGTGATTTTTTAGTCTTTTTAAGTGACCCAAGAATGCATTGATTTTTTAATTCTTTAAGATTCATGTCCTTCACAATTATTTGAATATAATTATTGATAAAGATCCTATAAAGCATTCTATATCATATACCAATTTTAAAATTGTATAATTGCAAATGGTCTTAAATTACTTTGAATCTATCATTAAGTCTTTATTTGAAATGATATAGCTAAAGAATTCTATTTGGAATTCTAAACATATATATTTCTTTAATTTTACATATAATCATGTATCTCATAAAAATTATAAGAAAAGATAAATATATTTTTAATATTTTTTTATATTATAATATTCAAGAATAGATATTGATGTGGCCTTACCTTATCCAATTATGTGAAGCCATATAATCTATATGAATAAAATTTAATAATTAATAAAATTTAATAGAAATAAATTAATTATTAAAAATCAAAGTTTATTTATTATGCATCATGAATGGAGTTTGTTCTTAAAATTTTAACCATTAAATCTTTTGTAAAATATTTTTTAATATTATTAAAAAAATAAAATTATAAAATAAAATTAAAAATTTTAAATATTTACAACTTTGAATTTTTAAAATAATAATATTTATAACTTTAAATTTTTAAACTAATAATATTTATAATTTTGAAGTAAAAAAGTAATAAATTAATATATTTAAGACTTTTTAAATTGCTAGGACATTAATTCTTTTTAAATAAATAAGAAAATTTTATAATTTTAAAAAATCATTTAAAATTGCAATGCAAGACAACCATATTTATAATCAATCTTTAAGACTCAACAATATTTGGAGTCAAATTTTAAGAAAAATCTATACATTTATAATAATCATATTATATAGATATATAGCCACAAGATATTTTCTTCAGTTACTCCCATAGTCTTGCAAAAGTACTTGGTAATAAAAGTCTTGTCTTGCATCTCAATGTTCATTGAACTAATTTTACTTTGACAATTTCAAAGGTGTTCTTGATTTGTATAAGTCACATTTTAAAAAAATTAAATAACTAATAGAAATGCATTTTGAAAACTCATGTAGAGATATTTTTTAATATAAAAAGAACATGGATGTCCAGAATGTGATTCAACAATCGCTATTTGACAATGAAATCTTTATTTATTAAAAGTCAAGATAGAAATATTACTTCAAGTGATTAAAATATAAAATATTTATATTTTTTTTCTTGTAAATAAGTAAAAAAAAAAAAAAATCATTCATTTCTAAATCTTATGCAATTCAATTAAGATGATTCGTTATTAGCAAGAAAAAATAAAAAATAAAAAAAAATAAGCTTGAAATAACAAGATTTTTATTTTTCATGAATATTATCATGCATAAGTAGCAAAAAGATTTTTGTCAGGTTCTACAAATGCCAGAGCAAGAATTTCAATAGTTTCTTTGAAATTTATAATTACAAAATTATATATTTTTAAAATTATTTTAAGTCCAAATTTTCCAGTTTATAACATACAATTTATTGATTTTATCATAGTATTAAAAACTAATGTAATATCCAAAAATAATTCTTAGTAATAAATTTTAGCATATGAAATTTTAAATCAGCGACATTCTTTCACGCTACCTATTATTTGGTAATAATAAAAATAATTAAGTTAATCACTTCAAGTAACAATATATTTTTAATAATTTTTCCTGATTTTTCAAGAATTTTTTGAAATATACTTACATGGTTCAGAAGTTGAAGACGAATATAAAAAAGTCACGACAAGTTTCATCGTTCAATAATAATAATAATAATAATAATAATAACATGATTAACTTTAATTTTGTGCACTATATCCTTTCTGAAGATTTTTTTTAAAAAAAAACCTAGTTTTCAGATTTTCTGTAGAAGCATACATAAGTCCAGAAAAGAAAGAAAATCAATGAATAAAATTTTAAAAATTAAATTAAAAATGAATCCATTGTGTAAAGACAAAGGATCCAACACATTTTATGAGCAGGTTCAAAGGTGAAAAACGTCAGCAGGAAGAAGAAGAAGAAGAAGCACGAAGATGGAGGAGCAGGAGCCATGCCTGGCCTGGGCTGGCCTGGCCGTGCCTATCACGCCCTGCTGCTGCTGGCTGATGCTCGCTGCCCTTTCCCCCGCTCTCAGCTCACATGATCCTTGGCACCCAGTTTCCACATATCATGCATCCCCCACTACCCCTGGCTGCAGCATGCACTCACACACTCTCTCACACAAACACAGAGAGTGAGAGACTATGAGGGTGGTGCAGGATGGTGTGAACAAAGCCTGACAATGTGACGCTGATTCATGGACAATGTACTTGTTTACATATACAACAGGAAAACCCTTTAGACCGGAATAGCATACTGCGTGGCTAGAAATCACAGATCCTGTACTTTTTTTTTTTATCAGACAAAGGATATATATATATATATATATATATAGATACGTCTGTGTGTATGGCTAAAGTACTTTATGGATCAGATACGTGATCTATATGTGGGTTATAATAAGGCTGGAGACTTTCAATTCTAGATTATGAGCTGTGTCTCAGGAGAAATATAGATAAAAGAAGATTATAGGAAAGGTTTTTCGTTTCTGAACTTATCCAGGGTTGGATTGGAAGGTGAATTAGTTGAAGGCTGGCCAGCTTGCAACTGGTAGAGAAAAATGGGCAACAATGAAGCTGAAAAGTGAGCTATTCTAATTGCAGAGAAGTGCAAGTTTAATGGAGTGGAGGACTGACGAGACAGAGGCGACTGCGGCGGCGGCTGCATGGCTTGCCTTGCCTTGCTTGCCAGAGCTGGCCACATTTTTCACGTCTTGAGTGTTTTGTCGTTTTTTTCGTTTTGCTTTTGTATAAATACTTAGTGTGAGATGTGGATGCCATTTTCATTTATCGCTGTTGCTCCCCCCTTGACTAGCTTCTGAGACTTGAAGTTCGGATTCCAGGTCAGCCTTCGATTACCATCTCAATGATTCCCCAAATGCTGTTGTTGATTCTTCCACAGCGTGTTGAATGATTCTTCCCCCCTCTGTTTTTGTGCGGTTGTGTCTAGATCTTGGTGCTGAAGATGGCGCTGCGTTTTTCATTTTTTTAATTGTGTCCGTCTGTCGGTCTGTTTGTTCACTTTTTCACCATCTTGTAGTGTAGTTTATCTGTAGTATTTTCGACAATGATGCAGCTCGTTAGTAGTTTCAAAGGTTGTCATCACGTCAGTCCTCTCTGTACCGTAATCTACGAAGTGACCTTTACTTATTGGTTTCCAATTCGAAGGGAGGGAGTTACGTGAAGTCTAATGTAGACACTTACGCTGGATTTCATTCTGCTATTGTCTAAAAGTTGAGGTTCCTCTACATCAAATCAGATATAACTCCCGCTTGATATATTCTAGTGGTATTGTTCCTAATTGCGTCCATTACACTTCGTAGTGAACAGAATCGCATGCTCAGTGTCTGTTGCAGGATTATGTCAAGACTACAGTTTCAAGAGTATGTTGGGGTCGCAAGGCGTTGTGAGACTGGCTGATTTTCACTTATCACAAAGCTATAAAAAAAAAAAAAAAAAAAAAAAAAAAAAACCCCGAAGTTCTCCACAGACGGTGTCATTTGCAGTCATGAAGTAAATTCAAGTTCATGACTTCATTATAGCGTTCATTATAGCTGTGGGAGGTCAAACCCCACTTTGCATCGATCCAAAAATAGTAGCTGCAACAGTAGAAGACACTCGACTACGAAGCACAAGGATGCAATGGAATTTGAAGTGGAAAGTTCGGGACTACGCAAGTCAATCACAATGGCTCCTTCAAGTGATCGGATAGGGAAGAATGGTTGATAGAGCTACTGACGCTAACCTTCCTGAGCTAAGGAAACGGCAGGGGTCTGGAAAGGGGACTGACCAAGGTACGATGAATACTTCAGCGAGGAGCTCATCTGTGCTCGACCACGTACCCTTGAGACAAGATCCGCTTGCTAATGCACAAGGGCGGCGCACCGCTGTGATTGCCTTTGTTAAGTGGTCTATCACTCTTGAGCTATTCGAACCTTGTTCTTCGTGAGGCTATATGGACCTCACAAAGCGTATTCGGCGGGTAGAGAAAAATTCTTTCTCATTCTTGTTGGGCACCAAGGCAGCTGTACATGCGATAGTGAACTTAGGATTTGAGAAGTAACATGGTTGATGATCATGTGCAACTGTGACCTCTATTCAAAAAGTATACACATCCTTCAAATCCAGCGTGTTGAACTTTGTTACTGCTATTTGAACTTCTGTGTTAAAACTGTCGGTACTGAAAACTGGAAAACACTCGCATAAATTCTATACAATCTGCAAAAAACATGCATTCTGTTGTAATTTTATATTGCTGTCGATTTTATGACCTCTTTACAAAATCTAACTGAAATAACTGTTATACATAATAATACATCAAACTCAGCAAGTTTTCAATGTGTTCCCTGCCTTGTCTCGAAACAGTCCCGGTGCCTACGCCATCTGTACTGATAACATCCATTCGGGCCTGCACCTCAAACTAGCACCTTGTCTTGAGGGGTTACTCAATACCTGAGAACTAACCCTGTCTACGACGATTGGAACAGGAACAGAAGGGCAGAGCCACTATCTATCATCAGAGAGAGCTGACGCTTGAAACTTGGACCGATCGACTTGCATATCGGATGTCGAGTACTGAGAGTGTGAACATCACATTGTCATCCTCAACATGCACTATGAGTGCAATCCAATTCGTTCACTGCAAAAAGATAACAAGAATCATTAGGACGAGAGAGAAATTGGGTCCAAGTGTTAATACCTGTTTGTCCTCAGCTTTACAAGCGCTCTGTTTCGCCATGGCAACGGCTGTAGTAAAGCCACCAAGAGCACCAACCAAGCCGCACTCTAAGGCAGCTTTACCAGTCCATGCGCAACTTCCTCCATTTTCTCAATATGATATATAACATGAAGGCAAGGACAACTACGTTAAAAGTTCACGAGAGTTAAACTGTCTCAAAATCGCGGGTATGATTCTTGAACCTAGAAAGAAGAGAGCTAGCAACTACGAGCTTATCGCTATTTCCCTTGGCTTAGCAGTATTATTTCGGAAAGACATGGGTAAATACACTGATGATCCTCTGAAAAGATCCTCTTCTTCAGGCCTACAAATTGTTCAGTATGAAACACCGAGATGAGTAAGATAACACACGAACACCTTCGCAATGTACGAGATAAGTAAAAGCTTACGTTAACAACATACTTGAAAGGACGTTGATCCGCATCAAGCTCAGTAAACATTCCATTTGAGATAATTTCCTTCGCGAAACCCACTCGCTCATATAAATTTGCAAAATAGAATTTAGGTGCCACAAAAACGACAAGAACTGCATATTATGCCTGATGATAGATCATTGTGACATGCTCAAAAAAGAAAGAAGAAACAGCATTGTGATAATCAAGACTAGTCGGACTACTGTCACAAAACCAACATCTCAAAATGTACATCAGAAAATATGCACAAAGAAAGTTCGACATATTCTCACACAACTGTCACAACCCCGATCGAACCAGTCAGAGTAAATGCCTCAAGCTAAACAACTCTTGCTGTCATTGCTTCTAATACACATAGAGAGAGAGAGAGAGAGAGAGAGAGAGAGACTTACTGTAGTTAGCCGCATACCTTGCATAAATTGGATGCTCTCAATAAAGAATCACTGGTTATGCCATCACGAGAATATCCAGGTACTTCACCACCTACATTACATAATACACTTCCTTCCACTCCTCAGACAGCAATTGGATTGCCTCCTTCGGACAGGCCGAGTGTCCACATTTATACCCTTGCTTGTTTACTTAATATTATGGAGGGAAGACTTGATAATAAAGGCAAAATATTTGGCCCCATGATTTTACATGTATATTGTACAATAAACAACCAATGAAAGCACGAACTAATCCTTAGATCAGAAGAACAAGCTCACATGAAAAAGAACTCTTAATTGAAAGGAACGTCTGTATACCTGTACTGTACTGTCTGCAAAGGTTTATCCATTGCAGCATTGAACCACTCCTTAAGCACCTGCTCAATATGTTACCCACAAGAGCCAGTGGTTAAGAATACGACCTTCTACATTTCCTCTCCAAGCCCTACTGATGGATAGGAGATTTCATATAATCATGTCGTTTACAAAGAAAAATAGTATAGTTTGTGCCATTGCACATGTACTTTTAACCACGTCGGTCCTTGAATGAAAGTATCGATGTGCCCTTAATCCTTCTTAGAAGACCTCGAAGATACCAAAAACACCTCTAAATATAAATGCAATTAGGATATTTGACAACGATGACAACAAGAATCAGAATACTGGAAAATAAAATCAAACGTTGACATAAAATGCTTCTTTCAAACAGGATGAGGTGAAAGTTTCGTAGTACAAATAACTACATAATTATCGGCAACACAGACAATAATCCTAAATGTTGATCACATATCAGACCAATATCTCAAACTTAGAAATTACTATCATCTTCTAGAAGAAAGTTAATCAGACTCACTCAATGTAGAAGATAAGCGAGTACGAAAAAATCCATTGAAAGATGCTGCACACCGGACTGCTTGTAATATTCCACGTGCCGTCTAATTTCATCAAGCTTCCTCCGGCCAGGTCCTAGGCCTCAACGAACGAAAAGAGGCCAGCTACTCAAGGATCCTGTGCTGCTTTGATCAAATTTTCACATATCTGTGGCAGCAATGGACCTTGCAAGAACGGACCTTAGTATTGCTCAGAAATCTGAATCAAAGCACATTTACATAATCAGCACACAAAAAAATTGAAAGCAAGATTTACGGGTCATGAAATAGAAAAAACTAAACTTCAAACTAATTGATGCTAAAATTTTATCAAGGCAATAATCTTAGCAACAAGCAGTGCACTTTACAGTAACCGAATCAGATACTGACTCGCACTACAGAGCATCGCAACGCATGACAAATCACTCTACACATGAACTAAGATCATACGTGCCGAATATCCACCATAGGGGTGAATTACAGAAACGAGATTTTTAAGTGCATAGTTAAAGGTCTCTTTAAAAACCTAGAGCAGCAGCATCAAACTAATAAATATGTAGCATTTTAACTCACCTCGCCAGAAAGCTCGATGTTCAGCACACTCCCTTCTTTCACAAGCTACAGTGGCAATGCAAAAAGAATTCGCAACTTGACAAAAGAAAACATTCCCAACGACTTTCTTTTAAACGAGATTACCAGAAGGATAATCTTGTGTCCTACTTAAACCTTTATCTATTACAATAGCTTTGCAATATAGTTTAATTTTCGTATTGTCCCATGTTTTTCCTTCCAAACCCTCATCCACAGCACCATCTACATTCTCAGATTACTTTTATCCTGTCTCGTTCACTTCCAAACCTATATCGGTAGTAGCATCTGCTTCCACATCACTTGGATCAGATGATATCTCACTAGACTCACTTGTACCCGTGGTATCAGTTAAGTTGCTATCCGTACAACTTAATTTCGGTATAATTTGCTTCACCTCAAACTCACTGAAGCACATGAGGTATTAATAAACAAGTTTCTGCAGCGTTTACAAAGGAAAGTTAAACACAGCTTACAGTTCTACTGTAAATCCCGTCATAAATTTTACAGATGCAAAACATGTTAACTCCAAAGGTGAGTTGCCATAATAGTCGCCATATCTACGAACAACCAGTGCTTTGTAATGTCGGTCAACAGGAGTCAAACGATTTTGGCATTTGAGCAGTGCAAGGATTTCAATCCACAAAAAAGTGCAAAAAAGCTCATGTCACAAGGAAATTCAAGAAATGAACACATTAAGGTTGGATTAAACTGACGATTAAAGGGAACTCTTCAAGCCTTACGTGCAGATGTTGACACCAGCATACAAAATCCTAGTTCCAAACATTGCACAGAACACTGACAAATGACCACTGCGTAACTTCTGCATAGCTCACAAGATACTTGAGTTGGATGTAAGGCATAAACCTAGTATGAAAGAACTTTTCTATATAAAACTGCTCAGATTCTGGACTGCGTTGCTGAGACGAAGCATAGGAAAGTTATATTGATCGCTTCTTACTCCACTTTACCCATGTATTCCATAAGGACTTCACGCCATCAAATATAGAAGAACGACGATTGAATCACCAAGACAAAATTCAAGCACGGACATACACATCGGCCAATAATCCGTAACGACTTTACATTGTCCTGCGCAACTCCTCCCGAATCCGCACAATTCGAAGAGCCTCCGAAAAATCAAGCTCCACCATCACAACCTTCACCAGCTGCTCGCTCAGGACCTATTGGCAGAGCCGCCGTCCCATGACCTCTTTCCATCGGCGAGGCGAGCTTATACATCTGCGCTTTGCCGAGAGTGCACTGTTGCTATGATATTGATTGCAAAGCTCAACGCAGTGTCCATCCTTCCTGAGCAAAACCGCATCTCGATCCTCCGAGAACTGTCAATAGCTCATTCCCAAAATAAGCAGGACTCACTCATCAGATCCTTTTCCATGAGATTCGGTCCATGCATAAGCAACAGCTTCGGAGGAAATCCCGTCTTGTTTCAATGTCGGTAAGTAAAGCTCGATGCTAATCCAGACCACCAGCAATCGTGAGAATGGAAACGAATCCACTCCTATTTTGGTGTTGCCATTACTGCCACTTTGTCCGTTTTTGGAAAGCTCAGGCTTCAGCTGCTTAACGTCCTTATTTGGATGAATGAATAATGGCCCAGCAGATACTTTATCATCGACGATGTGACTGGTTTTCTTCATCGTGCATGGACCTTCACGAGAGAATAGCATCAATAACGTTGTTGTTTTTCATTTATCAATCATAAAATTTCTAAGCAAACAAGAAACAAATCATCCATTTTTTTATTGGTTGGTTCAGATAATGCTTGAGAGTGTGTATTAAAGAAAACGCACACCAATAATAACGCAGAATTGTATGATGTATATAACGATGATTTAATGTTATAATTTCTTTTTTAAAAAATGCTCATTATATATTATTATTTTTATTTCATTGTGTATAATTAATATTATTCATTTGGCTACTTATTATTGAGTTAAGATTTCAAACTCGTCTTGAAGCACATTCATTTTTATTTTTTAGTAGAACAATTAATACTTTGCTTACGTAAAAAATAAAAAATAAAAAAATAAAAAAAATCAATTTTTACTGTAAACATGAAAGAATTGAAATATGCCATAAATATGAACCATGAGATTAATGTAATTGTATTGAACACATCTTTTGTACTACATTTTACAATTATGTGCATTATTATTATTATTATTATTACTATTATTATTATTATTATTTTCTCCTTATTTTTGTGTTGTTAATCAAATATATTTTATATTTATATGATTATTTGTCACATTATCACTGTTGTAATGTTTCATTATATTTACATACTATTACTCATATTAAATACTTGCTTAGACATGATGCCTTCAAATCGAGGCAAGAGCTTCCAATGACAGCATTATATAAGTATTCTATTTCAAAATATGAGATGAATTCTTATTTAATATAAAGTTGCATATGTGTGTCCATGTGCATGATAAAATTAATATAATTGATTATTTGAAAAAAATTAGTTTTAAATGTTATAAACATTAAAATAAATTTACAATATATTCTCAATTGAAATATTAAAATTGAAGATAATATTCTTTTCAATTTAAATTATTGTATTTCTTCATGTATATATGTTTGTATGTGTACGTATACGTATACATACATAGATAGGTACATAGACATATATATTTATTAACAAAGTCGTCTATAAATAATTTAATTAGAATAATTGCGCGGGAAAGGGAACGCGGGAGGAGGGAGACACATCAACCCGCAACAACGTACCCGGCCCGTTGCAGGACACAGCCAAAGGAGGGAAAGGTAGCCATGCACCAATCAGGCTTGCAGAAGAGCGCGGGCCCGCCAGAGAAAACGGCGGGAGCGAGGGCGGGGGGGTGGAGGGGGGGGATCACAATGAAGTGGGGAGGGATACTTATTTATGAGTACGGCCCCCCCTGTGAGGAGCCACGTCAGCATGAGATAGCTACTCGCGTGGAACTTGCCAGAAGCGGCGCTGTCGAGCCTTCCCTTTCCATCGCGCGCCCACGGCCCCAGTCTCCCGCGCAGCGACGACGAGGAAGGAGGAGGTAGGAGGATCTCCGTCTGGCTGCTCCGCCCATGGGACAGGGCACGTGATGCGTCCTTGTGCTTCATATCGCCAGAGGAGTGTCGGAGCGTGATGCTGCTGGAGCAATGCTGTGCGCAGATTGCTAACGACGCTGCCTTGTTTTGACTCTGCCCTCACCGTACAGTTTTTCGCCGTGGAAATCTATTTTTTCTGGCTCGTTCTATAGTTTTGTTTCGGGGTGAGGAAAGGTTGAGGTCGAAGGTGGTTAAGTGATGCGAGGTAATGTGCGCTCTGCTGCCTAGTATTCAGTTTTGCTTGTCTGGTGCGTTTTTCTTTCGTATTATAGTCGTACCTGGTGCTCCCATTGATGCTGTCTGATGAATGGAATCATGACGGACTAGTTTGAGTTTCCTTCGGACGAACGGTCTTGTTGACCGAGGGCCGTGGTTTGGTACGAGTGGTGCGATTGCTAGGTTCTCGTTGCGTGAAGGTTTAGGGATTATTTTATGTCTTTCTCAACCGTGGGTGTGATTCTCCTTCACGAGTTTGCGACTTTCAGCGGAAGTAACATTATTTTCCCGCCCGACTGGGGTTCTGAGGCTGTACATTGCGTCTCTGATTTTTCTGTGGTATTAGCGGGAAGGTTCCTGCTGCATTTTTGGTTTTATGTTCGCTCCGTCACGAACTTCCATGTCCATTTCAGCTTCTTTGAGGTTTGGTAGAATTTGGTAGCTTTGCGGCGGGGACTGAGTTGTGGGTTTATAATAAGCGTTCGTTTGTAGTGTGTGTGAAAGTTTAACTTATGCCATAACCTTCAATGGCCACTGATAGCTTGGTTTTTTTATTTTTTTATTTATTTTTTTTCATGTAAGAATTCCTTCCTCCATGATGGACGGAAGCAGATAATTGTGATATCTTCCTTTATAACGTAGTCTTGGTTTTGAAGGACAACTAGGGCTGCGTATGCTTTTCCCTGTCACAATCATGACATTAATTTCTTTTTTTTTAAATTTTTTTTCGGAGTTTCCGGGGGTAGGGTTTGGTAAGCCTACATGTCATGAAAGTAATTTTTTCACTCATCGTATTATTAATCGCATATTTTCCTTGTCTCCGGTGCACTCAAACCTTGGCATCATAATGTCAGCATGCTTCACTTTTAGCGGCGATGATTTTGTTAGAAAATTCATTTCTCCTGTTGATTGAGGGTTTTAGTCTATCATGCTCATTGTCAGTATTGTTTGTTTTCACTTCTAGGAACTCGGAGGCGCATTGGTAGCCGATGATTACTGACAATCCTTCATTGAGAACACAATCGCCACCAAGAGACAAGCAAGACACACACTAAGGACCTCTACATTAGTGCACTCTAGTCGCAAGCGTAGGCTTACACGATGCCCGCTCCGGTAAATCCAGGTAGGATTGAAAGGCTTGAAATAGAAAATTTCAAGTCTTATAAGGGTCATCAAATCGTCGGCCCATTCAAGAATTTTACAGCCATTATCGGGCCAAATGGAGCTGGAAAGTCCAACCTCATGGATGCCATTAGTTTTGTCCTTGGAGTTCGCTCCATGCAGCTACGAGGTGCGCAGCTTAAAGATTTGCTGTACGCATATGACGATAAAGACAGGGAACAAAAGGGGAGGAAAGCTTTTGTGAAGCTAGTTTTTATTACAGGAAGTGGGGAGGAAATGGAATTTACAAGAACGATCACGAGCAGTGGTTCCAGCGAATACCGCATCAATAACAAAACTGTTGCATGGGACGTCTACAACAGCACGATGAAGACTCTTGGAATCCTTGTGAAGGCCCGAAACTTTCTTGTTTTCCAGGTAACGTTTCTAACGCGTTGTTCATCATTTGTCTTTTTCATTGAGTGAACAATTTTCCAACTAAACATTTCTCTTTGAGACGGATCGTTCAATAATCATTGCAGCGTTAACCGAGAGGATGTTTTATTATTTGTTTTGTTTTGTTTGTTCGTTCGTTTGTTTGTTTGTTTTTTTGTTTTGTTTTTTTTTTTTTTTTTTGGCTTCAGTGATATTTGTGCTGTAACTTGATTCGTTGCTGAATTGTTGTACAGGGAGATGTTGAATCTATCGCATCCAAGAATCCTAAGGAGTTGACAGCGCTCTTTGAGCAGATTTCTGGCTCAGAAGAGTTGAAGAAGGACTATGAAGAGTTGGAGGTCCAAAAGGCACGTGCAGAAGAGACAACAGTCTTTATGTATCAGAAAAGAAAGACTGTGGCTGCTGAGAGAAAGCAGAAGAAAGAACAAAAAGAGGAAGCTGAAAAGCACCTTCGACTCCAGGGGGAGCTGGTATGTTTTCACTCTCTGGTTAAACGATGTCTCTAGAAATGATCTATTTGCTGCTAGTTTCAAGGCGTGCGTTGCTACTATATGTGTGGTAGGGGTCAATATTGATGAAATCTCAATTTGCCATGTTATACAAATTTCCCTAGAGGCACGGTGGTATTTTGTCTCCTGATTGGTTTACCTGATTCCATTACAGAAAGAGCTGAAGACTGAGTACTGCCTGTGGCAACTGTTCAACATTGAGAAAGATGTGGCGAGCACCTTGGCACAGCTTCAAAGGGAGAGAGCAACTCTGCAGGAGCTCTATCATGAGCAAGAACAGCTTGAAGCAGAAATCAAAGCTAAGAAGATGGATCAGGCAGTGCTTATTAAGGAATCCCTTTTGCTCGACAAGAAAAGTTCTAAAAAGAAAATGGAATTAGATAAGAAGGTTAGTTGTTTCTGTTCTGCGTTCCAGCTGCTTATTTTAACTTCAATTGTACAATGTCTCGTTTCTCGTCAGTTCAGGTCTTATTTATGGAGATCTCTTGCAGTTGTATCTGACATTACTCATGCACTTTTATTTTCCTGTCTTTGTAGAGCCCAGAGCTACTCAAGTTAAAAGAAGAGATCACTCGGTTGTCACAAAAGATCAGGAATTGTGAAAAAGACTTGGAAAAGAAAAAAGAAGACAAGCGAAAGCAGGGGAGTCAAATTGAAAATCTGCAGCGTAGCCTACGGGATGTTACGCAGGCCATGAACGAGCTCATCGCACAACAAGACCGAGAAGGTGGAGAGCGTTTGCATCTTGCGGAGAGCCAAATGTTAGAGTACCACCGAATGTAAGTACACAAAGTTTATCACTAACGTCTGCTTTATGAGCTTGATAGAGAAGTTAGCTATGTTTGTTTCGAATGTTTCATAGTCGATTTAAAGGAAAGTCCAAGCAATGGATTACATCACCCTCATATATTTTCCTGTGCGTTCGTAGCAAGGAGGAAGCAGGCACAAGAACCGCGAAGCTGAGGCAAGAGAAGGAAGTCCAAGATCGGCACCTTCAAGCTGATGTAGAAGCTCTAAAAAATCTCGAGGAGAACCTCCGGCAACTAACAGAACGAGATCAGCAGCTTCAATCTCAGGTAAAGCTGTTTTGAAGCATGGTTGCTTGTATTTTATCATGCTTGTAATTGTTGTGCGTTTACAGTTTATTATTTAGGTTTTGAAATTCTAAGTGGTGTATTTCAGAACCTACGTCTTAAATTAGCAACCTGCTTTCCATGTGTCTATCAGAAGGTTGACGAGGTTCTTCAGCAAACTAGGGTTCTTTTATAAATTTGCTCAATAATGTGAGATTGCTATTTTGTCATTTCCAGGAGGAGCAAACGCTGTCTCGCTTGAGCAGGTGCAATGAGGCATTCACCAAACATGATGAGGAGCTTCGTGTGGCTCAGAAAGAACTTGCGGACATGCAGGACAGACATCGGAAGTCCAGGTACAGTAGACCAAACTTGACTCAAATTTATTGAAATTTGGTCTACAAAAGTTAGAGCATGTATGTGTTTTCTCATGTCTGATGTTTGTTAGGTTTCATGTCTGTTAAATTTGTTCTCAATTTTCAGTCCGTGGGCTTAGATCTCGTGACTTGGAGCCTCTTCTTATTACCATGTTCTAAACGTATTATTTTATGTGGCTGGTTTGTAGGACTCGCTCTGAAAGCTTGAGAGCTAAATTGGATGAGATTGACAATCAACTTCGAGAGCTGAAGGCTGATAAGAGAGAGAATGAGAGAGACAAGAGGATTGCAGAGGCCGTTGCTAGTCTGAAGCGCTTGTTTCCTGGTGTACATGGGCGCATGACGGATCTTTGCAGGCCCACACAGAAAAAATACAATCTGGCTGTCACTGTGGCTATGGGCAGGTACATGGATGCGGTTGTAGTTGAGGATGACAGTACTGGAAAGGAGTGTATCAAGGTAATTTATCTTATTGATGCTGTTGTTTGATATTAGTTTTTTATTTTTATTTTCAATTAACAGATTTATTCCTACGATGAATTGTGAAGTGATGTTGGATTGTTGAATACATTTATTGAGCATAGACCTAATCCTAAGGATGAATTTTCCAGTTTCTGGATTGCATTAGAGATTGGAAGATATCATGTCTCAGTTCACGTGCATTTTTAAAGTTGTGTACATGTGATGTGAAGCCAAAGTCATAATACTTTTCTTTTTGGTGTGATTAGTATCTGAAGGAGCATCGGTTACAACCACAAACTTTCATTCCTTTGCAGTCAGTTAGAGTTAAGCCTGTCCATGAAAAGCTGCGAGCCCTTGGTGGGTCGGCAAAGCTGGTGTACGATGTGATACAATATCCTTTCAACTGTTGCCTAAGTTTCGTGTCGCATGTTTTCTTTCTGCTACATTCTTGTTAATCGTCCTAGGGGCCCTCTATTGGTTATGGGTCTGATTAGTCTATTATTTTGAAGTAAATGTTCTTACTTCGATGTTCTTCCTTCGATTACCTTCCTTCACTCGTCTTATATTTGATCCGGCTTTAGAGAGAGCAGTTCTTTACGCAGTCGGAAATACTTTGGTATGCGATCAGCTGGATGAAGCTAAGAGACTTGCTTGGGGCAGTGAGCGGCACAAAGGTTACCTACTCATGTTCTTGCTCTGAAAATACTACGTATGAGTAGCTCACGATCTGAGTTTCAAGCCTTTATTTTCTGGATAGTGTAGTGAGTGAGTTGTATGTTTTGAAGTTCTGTTCTGTGAGCTGTTATTGCACTTTCGGAATGCTTTTTTGCTGTGAAATTGCAATTTAAGTTTTAGGTCTCCAAATGCGAACAGTTGAATTACTTACGCTTGCAAGAATCCGACTAGAGCTATGATGTTGATTGTGCTAATTGTGCATTTTGATATTTTGATGTTGGTTCGCAGTTGTTACGCACGACGGTATCCTTCTAGCGAAGTCGGGCACAATGACTGGAGGTGTTAGTGGAGGCATGGAATCAAGATCCCAGAAATGGGATAACCAAGCAGTCGAAGGTGTGGTCGCTGGTGATTCTCACTGTTGAAGCGTTTATTTTCCAGTTTGTTGTGGGGAAGGAAATAACGTAGTGCGGTGGAGGATTAAATAAAGTTGCATACGTACTAGGATTGTGATGATGTTTCCACTGACTTGTGCGGAGCAAGTCCTTGCAAGCGTGTTTTAGTATTTCATTAAAGTGAACTTTGCAATTGTTACTAACTTGCTTAGAGCACTTTTGACTTTTTTTGGTTCCTGCAGGTGATCATGTCCCTTAATTGGAATATCTGACTTAAGTGTTTTTGTTGGTTGGGCACCACGACAGCGCTCAAGAGGAGTAAGGAACGCTTTGAGAATGAGATGGCAGAGCTTGGATCAGCTAGGGATCAGTCAGGGAGGGAGTCTGAAGCAGCTGGTAGGATTAGTGGTCTGGAAAGAAAGATTCACTATGCCAGTAGTGAGAAGGTATGCTGATTGTATTGTTCGTAATATTCGTAAACGTTAGCTCTCTAACAGATATTGCGCGCAGAATTACAACAATATATTTCAAATGCAGTTGTGAGTCTGAAAACGGTAATTCAATGTTCAACAACCTATGTTTTTCTCATGCCCATCTTTGACGTGATTATGCCAGAAATCTATTGAAGAGAAGCTGACAAGGCTTGCGCAAGAGCGTGCCACTAACAGGGCTCATATAGAGGAACAAAGGCCTGAGATAATTCAGGTAGAACTCTAGGTTTCAACTTGCTTCATCTTACATCGAATGCATGCATGAGTACCGAGGTTCATGCCTTGTATAATTTCAGCAGCCTGAGGTTAGAGTTGATGTTGATCATGGTTTAATGGAAGCACAAGAACAGTGTATGGATATGTTCTAGAAGTCGTGGGTTATCTCAAGTCAAGGATTGAACAATATGTTTATTACTGACTTTTCAGCTTCTATCTTCTAGTTAGTGGTTTCTCTCATCTCAGCTTCCTACACCTTAGCGGAAAGTTCCTTCTGATGTAACTTGTGAACCTTCTGTTGATGGTTGGTTCTACAGCTTCAGAATGCTATAGCCAACAAGAGCAGAGAGGTTGCCGAACTTGAAAATCACATCAACAACATTATCGATCGAATCTACAAAGATTTCAGTGCGTCAGTAGGCGTTGCAAATATACGAGAATATGAAGAAAACCAGCTCCGTGCTGCCCAAGAGACTGCTGAGCGAAAAATGAGTCTTACCAGTCAGATTTCAAAACTCAGGAACCAGTAAGTTTAATACTTAGCTTCTTTCAACTGTGCTGTCACTTCTTTTATTTGGGGGATTAAGGCACTTAGAATTGTTTGGTTTCTTTGATTGAACTGACCAGTATAACATTTCACACGTATCATTTTTCTTTTAGTTCACTGAATGTTGGCGATTGAACACAGGTTGGAGTACGAACAGAGGAAAGATTACGATGGACCAATAAGGAAGATGTCGGACACTTTGAATGCTTTGCGAGATGAGCTCGTGAAAGTTGAAAATAGAGAAACGCAAGTCAAAGCAGAAATGGAGGAGCTTTCTGAACAAATTGAGAAATTCAGAGAAGATACATTAGACCTCAGAAGTAGAGCAGACGCTATTGAAGAGGAGATTCAGGATCTGAAAAAGCGAGGAAGCGACGATACCACCAGTCTTGGAAATGTTAAGCGGCAATTGACAGCCAAGGTAGGAACAAGTAACTTCTTACGTCTTGCCCAGAAAGTATACCAGAAGGCAATGCTGCTGGAATGGTAGAGGTTTGATATGCTGTTCAAATATCAAGCACAACTCGAACACAAGTGCTTACCGATCTGCTTTGTTTTGAACTGTCCTGAACCAACCAGGAAACCCATATTGAGCAATTGAATGCGAGGAAACAAGAAATCGTTGAGAGCTGTGAGCTTGATCAGATCAAGCTACCTACAATTGGCATTGATTCTTCTGGACCTACTCAACAGACACCGACAAATGTAACTTTTGATTTTTCCAAGCTCAGCAGGATACACCAACAGGTAGCATTTCTCTCCTACTTTGAATTTGAGTTGCCGCATTCTAGTATTTTTTTCATGCAGAATCTCTTCATATGATGTTTAATACGTGTTAAGTAATTCCAGGACTTGAGACCGTCAGAGAAAGAAAGGATGGAATTAGAATTTAAGGGTAAGTTGGAAACTCTATCAATGGAAATTGTGAGAACAGCTCCAAACCTGAAGGCGTTAGATCAATACGAAAGTCTACGTGAGAAGGAGAGATGGTTCAATGAAGAATTTGATGCTGCACGAAGGGCTGGGAAGGAGGTTGCAGACAAATACAACGCGGTGAAGCAACAGAGGTGATCGATCTGTTAAGCATTGGTTTCAAGTGCTTGAGCATCGTGTCATCTTTAGACTTTTGCTGGATGAGTTCCTGTGTTGATAAGGTCTGAGTGGCTAATTAATAGTGAGCTTGAAATCTTTTGATTTGAAAGACGATCACTTGAGCAAAGTTCTAGAATTTTGATATGATACTAAAATGTACAAAGGTAGGGTTCTTAGTTCACTTTAATGTCAGGAATACTTGCCTAATGGTACCGAGCGTTTATGACTAGCTCTCATTATAACTCGTCGTTCACTTATTAGTTAAGTTAAGTTGGTACATATAGATTCATTTTTAATCTTCTAACATTTGGTATCTGTATTCCTTGTGCAGATATGATAAGTTCATGGATGCGTTCAACCACATCTCCGTAAACATTAATGCAATATACAAACAGCTGACTCAAAGCACCACTCATCCATTGGGTGGAACAGCGTACTTGAGTTTAGAGAGTGAGGATGAGCCTTATCTGCATGGGATTAAGTACACAGCCATGCCTCCCACTAAGCGTTTTCGGGATATGGAACAACTTTCCGGAGGAGAGAAAACTGTGGCTGCCCTTGCCCTCCTCTTCGCTATTCACAGGTATTGCTGTACAGTTTCTATCTGTTGGCCATACATGGCTCTGCTTTTGTGTTATGACTCCCCTTGATTGTTTTGAGTCATCTTTGTGAACGGTTATTTGTATATATTTTCCAAAATCAGTCGATTTGTATATTTACCTTGCAAGCTAAAGAACATATTTGAATGCATTTGCGAGTCCTGTGAGGTTGATGTTGCCATGCCAGCTCCTTGAGCAGATATTGAGTCCTGTACAAAGAACTTATTTCAGGTTTTAGCTAATCCTGTGAGGTTGATGTTATCATGCCAGCTTCCGGCCATCCCCCTTCTTTGTTCTTGACGAGGTTGATGCTGCTTTAGACAATCTAAATGTAGCCAAAGTTGCAGCCTACATACGTGCCAAATCACGTCCAGAGGTCAAGGACGGTGATGGCGGGAAAGGAATAGGCTTTCAAAGTGTGGTTATTTCACTAAAAGACACATTCTATGATAAAGCCGATGCTTTAATTGGTGTTTATCGAGATCAAAGGTACGTGTTTTTCATGCATTTCTTTCTTAGTAGTTCACATCCCAACCCTTGTTTTTGTGGTTAACTGGTTCATACATTCAAGTTTGATTGGTTATGTCCGAGTTTGCTCGCTGACCCTCGCTGTCGTCTCTGATGTGTAGTTGTTCCAAAACGCTGACGTTCGACTTAGGAAAATACGGCGGTTTATAAAAAGGATGCAACTCTTGGTCCTTTCGCATGCTTTGTAAAATACCATTGTGGTGTACTTTGGTTCTTGGTGTACATGATAAAAAAACTGTGATTTGAAGTAGTGGGTAGCATTATTACCAGATCTACCATGGGGCCTAGGCTCATAGGAGGAACGGATTCTTGCCTTACACCGGTCTTGGGACCGATTCTTACTTTTTTGTGTTCAAAGTGCTGCTCTGTATGTGAAGACATTTAAACCATGTGCAAACTGGAATGTAGGCAGCCCTTTTGGTGTACAATCCTTCATAATGACTATTAGTCTCTTTTCCTTTCCTCAAGGCTGTCGCACATAGTTTACCCATTTATCCATGTCTTCTGTTTTTGGCTACATTCTTTTCTACGCAGGCGTGCATAGATAGTCCTTATTGCATTTCAGAAATGAAGGAATGGATAATCTTATTTTCATGAAAACTTTTGATGTTGTTGGTGATTGTCATTGTTGTTATTATGAATGATAGTTTATATGTACTTGGTAAAAATGATTACTTGAAAAATGTATTTATGATTGCCTAATTTTTGTTTTAAATTTTATTCAAAATAAGGAGTGTTAGAGAAGTAGAATGGATACACTTCATACCTGTATAGGATATGCTTTACTTCTAGACTAAAGAACATCAATTCTGTAGTTGAGTGTATACATGTATGCACTTTCACGTAGTTACTAAATAGTTTGAGTTGTACATTGGCTTATTCTATATCTTTCATTTTGGAGAATTGTCATGTGCCCTAAAAAGAAATCTAATGCGTTCACAGTGGACTGATTTACATTTAAATTTAAAACATGTTTGCTTAGCTTATTCTCTTTATTTATTTGTAATATAATATGTTAATCGAAATTTAACTTTAAAGTTTTCACAATAATGTTAGTCTTTTAGAAAATCTATTAAGTTTGTAAATAATATGACAGCCTTCACAGATTTCCAACATTGTAAAGTAATTTGAGATTAAATATTGAATATGTATACATTGTTGGAAAAATCACGTAGTAAATTTTTGATTAATGATTTCTAATATATCCATGCTATGACATATTAAATGAAAAATATTGTTATTAGTTTGAAATCTTGGTATTTCAGTTATATTGTTTGTAATAATCTTTTTGCAGAAGATGTAAATACAGCAAGTGTCTTCAACTACACTACCAACTTGTGGCAATTCTGGAAAATAGATAATGGTTTTTCTTTTTGAACTTTCTACATCTGTTTGTCATTTATGCATGTTTTCAGACATAGATGATGGATAGCTTTTTTAGATTTTGTGAGAAGTTCATTGATGTGTAATCAATTGTTGGAAGTCCTTGCAATATTGGTAGGAGTGGTGCAGGGTTTGGGGCTTTTTTTTAAGTAAATAAATAATATATATGTTTAGGGTTAATTAAAATGTTTTGGTGCAAGAATTTATTTGGGATTTGCTATTCATCTAGTACCATGTACCAGTTAGATACCTATGCTGCTGTGTCCAACTTGTAGAGTGTCTGTAGTACATACAATTATATTGTTTTTTTGTGAATATATATATTTATATATGTAATATTAAAATATATAGTTGTATTTTTTAAAATATTTAATAGTAGTAAGTATGCATGTATTTATTATTACTTTAATGGTTGACATCAGATTAGATGATATATTAGTTAATTGTTAGATGTAATAATAATAATAATAATAATAATATTTAAAATTACATTTCTAATTAAATTAAAAATTAAAAACACATTTATCAACTAATATTAGATTGATTGGATATCTTACTTTAAAAAAATAATTTTATGATTTATAAAATAAAATTTTAAAAATATTTTTATTTTAAAAATCTATGTGTTTTAAAATTGAACAAGTTATAAGATTTGCAACTGACAAAATTACATTAAAAGAAAACAAAAAAGTTGTAAAACCTTTAAAAGAAAATCAAAAACAAAAATTCATCAAAATAACTGTAAAATGATAAATATAAAACAAGAAAAAAGCAAAGTAAAAATACAAACACAAAAATGCCGATCAATACATTTGAAGACAGCCAATCTTTGTTTTAAATTAGAAATACGGTCTGGTTTTCTTGAATAATATATATAAAAAAAAAAAAATTGGTCTCATGTAAGTTCAAAACAGTATGATCATGTTTATTTTTTATTAACTTTGTTTTCATAACTATAATATTCCAGAATAATTATCTATTTCAAAGTAAGTAATTCTGCAACAAATTTCCAAAATATATTACTATATATATATATATATATATATAGTTGTATCCATGAACAATATTAGTAATAATAAATTTTTCAATAAATGACCAAAATAACATCATTAAAAAATGGTTAATTTAAAGATTATTTTGTTGATAAAAAGTTAATGGTGGTACAAACATCAACATTTAGATGGTTTTGAATTGTGTTGTAATTTCTTAAAACCTTATGAAAAAATTCATGATTTTTTTTGTGATTTCTTTTTGAGAAGCTTCTACTCATAGCTTGTGTAATAAGTCATAAGAGTCTTAAGTACGTTTGTTACCTTCCAAGTAGTATAAATGAAAACATTGCTTCAATTATTTAATCTTCTTCACTCTTCATAAAATTTAGCATGTTTATAGATTGAAAACCTTCTTGTGTGTCAGTTTGATTGTTGTTTATTTTAATTTTTTAAAAGTAAAACCTAGTTTGTTGTTGTTGTTTTTGTTAATTCAGGATTTTTCACAAAATTAATTATTCCGTACTCCAAATACCAAGTTGTATTTTTATTTTTATTTTTTGATAGTTTAAATAGTTAGTTAAAAATATTTATTTATTTCAATTGTAACAACAATTTTTGAAAAATTTGGGATTTTCAGAATGTAAATATGTACGCATATTATTTGTTTTAGTTTGGAATGAATAAATTTTTAAGCTCATATGTTAATAGGAGTAATAAGAGTAATACTAATAATGCTATATGGTATTCTGAAATTTTTGAGATGATTGAATCTCTCAAACTATCAATTTGAAGACGGGCAATTACAGACAAATGATTAGTTACACTATGAAAAAGAAGACATTCGAAGACAACTTTGCTATTTTCCTGCCCAATAAGAAATTTCTGCTCTGGTTTCAAACAGAAACATACAGAAATGACGGCACAGACTCCAACAAGCAAGTGCGTCCCAAAAGTAACCCTCCGTCACATCGAACCCATGCTTTTGATATGTCTCTCTTACAGAATTAGACAATTTTGTCATACAAAGTTGCACTCTCCAGGTATGATCTACTTTAACAGCTGTGCAGAATCTGACAAAACAGAACTGGTATCGTCTCTGTCACGATCCTTTGCAACATAACAGCTTTAGCCCTCCAGGAACATACATTTCAAACAATCATGTCAGTTCTAGCTTTCGGTGCTTTCATGCCCTGAAGTTGCTTACAGTACCAAAGAAGCATACGAAGTAATGGGCCTCCAATGACAGCTTCAGTTCACACAATAAGTTGATATCACTTCCTCCATGAACTTCAAGCGAGACAAATTCCTAAGTACAGGAATTAGAAGAAACAAAAATCTTTTTCATTACCATCCAAATCTGGACTTCCTACGTGGAAGAGGAGGATTTAATTGAGTTCGGGAGTGCTAGCATCCCTGTAAAAACTTAGTTCTTAAAGAATCAATGAAATCTAAACAACGCTTGATGTGCATAAGCTGCTGAGATTGATCTAATAGGATCGCAGAGTATGCGAAAGATAGGGAGACAATCATGTGTACTTTTTGCATTCAGAAGGTGCCGACTGGGAACTTTATTGCGCCTATGCTGCCGATTTCTGTACAACCAATATCTTGACTGTGAAGCCTACCTCCTAAGAATGAAGACTTGTGTGTAATCCCCGATCATGGGCAAGCCTCCCGGGCGTCTTCAGGAGGTAGCAGAAACATTCGGACAAAAAATTGTAGAGGGAAGCAGGGGTTGAAGACGAGGCCCCGAATTTTGATTACTCTTTGGTCACTGCGATGACTTCTTTCGAGTTTTCTCCTTAATCCATTTCATTCCGGCAGTCGTGCCGGCTTTCAGCTTCTGAGCACCGATGGTAGCAACAACTTTCGTCTTCTGCATTCCAACTATCGCAGCAGCTTTAGTTTTTCTCATTCCAACACTTGCAGCTGCCTTTGCCTTCGCCATCTTCTCCTTGCTAGAGGACTTGGAAGCATCCTGATTTTTGGTAGCAGGGGCATCATCCTGAATTGGATCCCACTGATCCGCCCAATCTAGACCTTTGCTGCTTTTCGACATCCTGCTTACCTTAAGTGCCTGGACTAAAATGTAATCCTGCAGATAGATGGCAAGAGAAGTGAGCTGCATGATTGAGGTTTGAAAAATGCAACGAAGTGTCTGGGACCACTTGATCCATGAAACAATACGGATAGAGAAAATTAATAAAAAAAAGAAAAAAAACAGAAAAAAGGCCATGAAACGGATAAGGCAAGGCAGGGTAAGGAAAGGAAATTCACAATGCGTCAGGTGGAGAGCGACAACCAACCTACTGCACATCTCTGTGTGAAGATAAAAAAAACAGTCAGAAGTAAAAATTTCAGACAAACGTCATTCAGTTGAAATTCTCGGATTGATATATTCAGAGTGCATTTTGAGTGTGAGAACAAAGCTAGCAACAACAAAATCAGATAAAGGCTGGGTTCGAGAAAAAGTGAAAAAATGCAGCTGATCCGTAGAAACAAGATATTAACTGCAGCAGGATCCAGCGAAAAACAAAAGAAATCGCTAACCAATTACTTCCAACGGAACTGGACGAGAGACAGATGCCAAATCAAAGGCTCTTCAATCACAAAACACGTTGCGAGCTTAAACACGTTAACAAGAGAAAAATACAACCCCAGACTACACCATCTTCTTCGCATTATTCGCAAACCATACGTACAAACACGGGAGAACGGTTCAAGCACCTGCAGCCGACGAACACGAACGAAAACCACACCAAAATTCTCCCATAACCAATACCCTCTCTCTCGCTCTCAGTCCCCATCCAAACATCAACAAATACGAAACCACCTTCCTCCGACACTTCCCCCATAAAAAACTACAGCACCCCAGTGACAAGATCCCAACAATACCGACTCAACATTTTCAAACAAAACTCCCCTCAAAGAGATTGGGAAAAGCGATGATACCTGACACACAAATCCACGAACAACAACAACAACAACAACAACAGGGAACACGAATCTCCCAGCGAGATCGGCACCACCACGCCCCTGCTGCTGCACTAGTAGTACTACTTCAATACCTCTCTCCCTCCCTCCCTCCTCGTCCTCCTCCTCGTCGTAATCCCTGACCAAGGCCCCCCTCCCTGCAGACTCTCTCCCCTCCCTTAAAATGCCACAATGCGAGACAAATGAGAGACCGCGAGAGAGAGAGACCCAAGTTGCGGGAAGCGCGAGAATGGGGAATGGAATGAGTCTACAGACTCAGCGATGAAGGGAAAGGAGAAGAAGAGGAAGGAGGAAGAGGGATCTACTACTACGAGGGAGAGCGAGAGAATGGAATTTGGGATCTCTGTCTCTTCTTCTCTTTCTGTAGCGCCACGCGAGCTTCTCGCAAATCGTGCCGACAACGCCGAAGTCCGAGGAAGTATTAGAAGACGAAGAAGAAGATCCGAGAAGATGAACCCAAAAAAGAAACACTCACACAAAACAAAGTCGAAGCCAAAGCCTAAGCAAAGCGCGGTAACGGGGGTGCATGAGGGACTTGGTTTCCGGTAACCGTTTCCGGTACCTACTACCGAACCTCGATGGTCATGGGAGCCGGTCTTCTCCGCGTACTACGCCCCATTACCGTGGCCCTATTGCAAGGTTGGCTCGTAATGCACGCCTCTCGTGCGCGCGCTGGATGGATGAACGACATTGGTGATAATTCATCCATCGTATGTTGCGACTTTCATCCGAAACTTGCGTTCGTCTTCCTTTTACGGACTTTTAAAAGTAACAGCAAATTGGATATCAAGACTCAAGGTTTTAAAAAAAGAATTAACTAAAGAGTTTGGGTTATTTGGAATTTGAGTTGAAAAGCAGTTAAAGTGGTTGGTTTTTGGATATAGTAAACTGCTTTTTTCTTTTTAAAGCTTTAATTGAATATTTTATTTATTTATAATTTTTTTGTACTTTTGTGTAAATAAAATCATATAAAAGATGAATATGATTTATGTCATACAAAAATTTATAATTTGATGTTAATCATAAAATATAAAAATAAATAAATAGAACCAATTTATACAATTGTATACAAATACTTTTAAGAACCCAATATAACATATAAAACCTATACTTGTATTAGGTACTTAGTTTAATAAACACAATCAATTGGTCACTTGATTTAAATGTAAGACTTTATATTGAAATATGCATTACTTATATAACCTTATTTCAAATTATGTTAATAGTAATTATTCATCAACTATTGTTAGTCTTACCATCATTGTCCTTGTCACCTATTAGCAATCTTATATCATTTATATAGGAAAAAAAATTAGTTCTTACTTGATATATATATATATATATATATATATATATTTCACAATCAATTACCTTGTATAAAGATTAATTTAAAATTTTACATAAACTTAAAATTTTAAATATATATATATATATATATATATATATACACTCTTCAAATATCTTGAAATGTCAAGAATATCTCTACATTCTTGATAATAGCAAATGTATCTCTTGTGGTGATATCTTATTATATATAAATGATATATTTGTTATTATCAAGAATATAAGGATATTTTTAATATTTTAGGATATTTGAAGGAATATATATATATATGAAATTTATTTTTTTTATTATCATGTTGTGATGAATAAGAATCATGCGACATAAGCCTAGCAATGGCAAAGGGGAACCACTTACAACAATGTGGGAGCTAAAAGATATGTCCAATAAAAAGAAATCATATGTTGCGATGTTATTACACCCGACAAGTCAATGGGAGGGAGGGAGGGAAGGGAGAAGAGATCTAAGCATCACTACATGTCACCATTAGGCTTGATTGCAAATAAATAACTAGTAGAGGATTAGAGTAGTTGAGGAGGAAGGGTCATGGTTATAAGAGACTATCAAATTGTTAGTAATAGTTGCCTATTTGTGAGGTGTACCACTATAGGTGGCTTCTCACGGAATTGGAGTGTTGATTTACAATCCATTTGAAGGCAAAGTTAGGATCAACAATGTGGATTGTTCCACAAGTTGTGCAAATTTATTGTTGCCTTGTTTATATAATTGTTTAGGTAGCAAGCAAAGAAAGTGCTCTTGGTGGTGATTGAAGATGTTTTTATAAAATATCTTCTAGGATATTTTGGCCACTAGAGAATAAGCAGCTCCTTAGGGCAGTCCCTTTGAAGAACATGTGGATTACATTGTGACCATAGGTGCTTATAGCAAAACTAATTCATATCAATTTTTCATATAAGAAGCACACTAGGAATAGAATTGGTCAGCCATAGTACTGTGACTTTGGAAACCAATTTCTATTCCATAAGTCCCTTGTGTATGAAGAGAATCAATTTTGGCTACAAAATTAAGGATATTTTTTTGATCAAAGCTTGTAAAATAAGACTTGTTAAAGTATTGTGTAATCAAAGTTACATCACATTTAATAAGTTTTAAAGCAACTACAATATAACTAATTTTTGTTTTAGTTTTTTTATATGGTGTGTCCATCTATAGAACTAACTTTCTTTACTATAGAGATCAAAGTTGGATTTATGCACTAAAAACCATAAAATATTGAGAAAACTTCATATATACTCCTAAAATATCTTAAAATATTAAGAATATCCATACATTTTTAATAATAACAAATTTATCCCTTGTATATGATAGAGTATCACTACAAATACTATATTTTCTATTATCAAGAATATAGAAATATTCTTCATATTTCAAGATATTTGAGGGATATATATGAAATTTTACTTTAAAAAAATACATTGAAGAAACCTTTCTACTATTTGCAACTTATACTTATTCCAAAAAATTAATCCAAATATTAAAGAAAATATATGTAATAAAAAATATTTCTTTTCTAATATTAGTTATTATTGATTAATAAAATAAAAATTAAAAAATATCAAGACTCTTGATAAAGAACACCACCAATTATCAACCACCAATCAATAAAAATTTGAAGGTCCTAACAAACAAGAATGACAAAATCATGTTTTTACTAGTTTTCTTTTACTTCCTTTTTATTAGTGTACATGAAAAAAAAAAAAAAAAAAATTAAAAATCACATCAAATATAAAGAATAAAGAATTAAAAAATACTTTAGCACCTTCTCAAGTTGATTCATGTTTGGTGCTTAAAAGCTTAAGTTTTGGTTAGTAAGGTATCAAATTATTTATTACTAATTTTATATGTGAGGTAAAATAATTTAAATAATAAATGATGAAATCAGCACTAAATTCAAACTGAAATTTTAGAGTAAAATATAGAACAATTCAAAACATTATACTAAGACCTTTTCTTCTATATCATGTCACCTTTAATTTAAAAAAAAAAAAAAAAAAAAAAAAAAAAACTTCATTCTTTGGAAAGATAAAAAAAAATAAAAATAATAATAATAATAATAATTAATTTTCAAGTATATTTCAAAATGTAGAAGTAATTTTAACACATCAACACTTGTTTTATGAAACCATAAGAATTTCTATGCATTAATGAATCATTTTATTTAAAACATTATGTGTTTTATTTTATTTTATAATTTATAATTTATAATATTTTAATAAAGAACAATAAGATTGTGAAAAAAATTTGATAAAATTTACAATGTTTAATTTATTTTGGAATCAACTAGCATTATCTCTTATAGAAATAATTATATTATTATTCTAAGAATTGAACTTCTATCATTCATTAAAGATAATTTCCATGCAATGCAAATAAAACAAAATTGCATCATGATCTCAAATATAGAGAATTCAACATGATTTATTGAGTTAAAAATAGATTTTTTAAGAGAAATGTTAAATAAAACCCCAAGTTTTTACTAAATCAACCTATCTATGATGAAAAATATGATAATCATGATGAGTGTAATTGGATTTGATTGGTTTCAGATCTAGTAGTGGGAAAATAAATCTAGAGGTCATTTTTCTTAGTTTCATTGGTGGATCAATTTTGTAAAAGCCTGTGTCTATTTTATTTTTTATTTTTTTATTATTGTATAATGAGGGATTATTTACAAAAAAATTAAGTAATTTTTCTATTTTTCATTCTTTAAAACTTTCGAAAGGATTTTCATATACCATTCATATTATTATATTTTTATTTGTATATGTATATTTACATTTGAAGATTTCATAATATTTCTATTTTTATCTTTTTTGCAACTATTACAAAATCAAAATTTTATATCCCATGATTAATATTTGATTTGATTTGATTTGATTTTTTTTTTTTTTTTCATTTTTAAAGTCACAATGAACATAAAATTCTATCATGATGTTCAGATTTTTAGTAAGGAGAAAGTAAGTATAGTGTTAAATCGAAATGTTTTTGATGTTCTTTTATGGAATTTTAAGAGTACTTGTAAACTCTTAAAAACATGTTTAAATATATAGTCAATCAACACTGACTGGTAAAATTTATCCTGTACTTGATTATTTTTAATACTTACCAATTACATGGGTTTCATACAAATTCTGGGTAGAAATAATTGCATTATATTTGTATATTTTTGAACTCCCTGCTTCATAAATATACGTATATATTAGAAAAGAAAAACCATGCAAGCTGAAATAATGATGACATATATATATACATATATATATATATACTTCAATACATATGTTAGAAATATATAAGAATTTGATTGAGTTTTAAAATAATATATATCTAATAAGGTGATCCTTATTGTTCTATTATTTGATTGATAATCTAGGTTGATTTCATAAATCTAGGTTTACAAACCAATTTTATGTTTTTATCTTTATAATTGAATTTTCAGAACTTAAGTCATATAGATCCATTCATTAAAAAATACTTCTTCCATGCATGTGACTCGTACTGCACTTCAGACAAATTCAAAGCCTGACAATGAAATACACACCCAGTAATTGAATTGAAATAAACCTAGCCTTGTGAATTATGATGACCAGGTAAGTACATTTTGAATTACATATTGGGTATAGGAAGCAAGTGCTATCACTTCATACGTCTACAAGCTCCTCGCACAATCTTTGAGCTACAATAATCAGGGACATTGTACTGTAGCTTCGTAGCAAACAAATATGTTCAGATTAGCAATAAATACTTGGCTTGAACCTTTGAGGGCATTTATCCTTGAATGATCTCATATTCAGAAAATTATAGAAAACGGTCAAGTTCTTGGACTACATCCTTCCCATTGACCTCCCTTCGCAGATACACATTATAACAACTTCTATTCTAACCTTAATCTAAATCTGGGCTGATATGGCAAAGACAAACAAGCAGGATACATGTCAACGACGCATCAGTTGTAATTTTGCGTCCCCGATTCAGACCTTGCCGTCATCTATCACTGTCGGCCTGCTTTGGCTCCATCTTTCTCATCTATCATACAGTAATCCCCTCTAGGCCTTCATACATGCAAAGCATGTCCACTCGATGAATTTGTGAAGAGCCAGTTTCTTTTGAACAATACTAGCTACCGAACAATCACAATCCACTGCAATCGATTGCAATCAACGCTAGTCCGTTTGTGTGTCAGAGCTGTTACCTTTGTCATGCAAAGAGAGCCCAGCGTCAAAGTCACCACTACCGTCGTTACTGCAACCCTCAAGATTCACTTCAATTTGCAAAGACGCATCACTCATAGGAGACTTGGCGGGAGACTTCGCTACAATAGATCGAGGAAGCATACTAATCATCTTTTTAGAGCCCTTGGGAACGGGCACTTTCTTTGCAGGCAATCCTGGGCGTTTGACACGCTCTTTATCATCTGTTGCCCTTTTAGTCCGTACGCCACTACCACTACCAACTCCAACAGCAATACGACCTTCTGCGCTACTGTTTCCTCGTTCTGCTGCCATTCTTTGTTTACCTCCAGCAACATTTGCTGTGTCGGACTTTTTGGATTCTTTGCTACCGTCGGCTGGAGGAGGCTCTTCAATGTCCGCCGCCGCCAAACCTTCAGGTGGAGGAGCCTGAGACATAGGCAAGGGGACTGGTTTATCACCCCAATCTTTGACAGGGAACTGAAAGTTGGGCCCAAAATTAAAACGCACAGAGCATTTTTTCTCAGGCATAGGGAGCGTATACATTGAAGCCGCGGGGTAGTATTCACCAGCAAATATGTCCCTATATGCAACGCCCTGACAAACGCCGTTCTTGAAAAAAGACACTTCACTTCCTGGTTCAAAAAATAAATAAAAATGCATGAGCAATGGATCTTTTGCAAATACTTGCATTCTCTCAGCACACAGGTCCAAGAGAATAGAGCTAATGACATATTCCAATCTGCAAACATATTCTTGCAACTATTACCTCCCAATCTACTTTTGGTAGTGAAAATGACACAACACTGTCTGATCCTGATAAACTTTTCACAAACTGTCGGAGAGGGTGGTCCACGACAGAGGGTGCAGGCATTAACATTCTAATATACTATGATACAGAATTATAAAAGTCAGCAAACTGGCTTTTGAGTTCAATCCGGATATAGAAACACTGAAAAATGAGTTCATAGAATTGAACCTGGAACACACTTGGGAGGTCCATCTTCCTTCTCAAGTGGCACACGGAAGACAGCCCTGGTGGCTTTGTTCACATATAATTCGTACTTTGATGCATATTTCGCACCATCGGGTAGATTAATGTAGAATCCGATGACATCTCCTTCCGCATATGCAGATGCATATGGCTCTCGAATCGCTTGATGTACTTTACTTCCATCGACGTCTCTGCAAACAAGAACGCATATTTCAAATTATGAAAAAAGGAGATAGTCCATACAAGAAGCCTTGTTACGCCAAAAGCGTGATTTAGTATAACCAAAAATTCAGGTAGATGTTTATCACTTCACTGGATTTCGCAAGTTTGTGCCTCAAATAACGGAAAACATACATGAGCATGAATGCCTGGTTTATTTCATAAATTTGACTTTTTTAATGAACACACACACACACACACTGCTGGGTAAGGAGTACCTGAAGGCATAGCTATTTGCATCAAATCCCACAGGCGCCTGCAAGTCACCTTTCCACGTGCTCCATCCCAAACGAGTGTGCCCCGTCTTGCCAAGATCTTTCACTACAATCTCGAAGTACCAGGCCCCCTCAGAAATACCACGAGTAGCCCTGACCATCCGATACCCCTTTTCACTACTGGCTTGCAACTTGTCCAGAGAGAGCTCTACCTTTTCAGCTTTCTGATCCTGCACATGTGAAGTAGATGCACAATATCCGAAGGACGGGTATCAAAATCAATAGTGATGTTTCTCTAGAAACCTTCAATCTTAACACCTAAGAACTTTGACAGCATTAAGATAGACACTTACAGTGAGCTAAATTAAACATCTTTATTATATTCTTAACAGTTAAAACCTGAAGGTGTTATTACATCCCAAGTGCGACATTCACAATTATCTCAGAGCAACAACTCATACCCACAAAGATCAAGCTGTGCACCAGAGGTGCATTAGCTGTTGATTTCAATGCAAGGACTCACAATCCAAAGACAGAAGATAACCCAGCTTTCAAATTCCCGGTTGAGGATTTCAAGAAGCACCGATAGAAGAGAAAGCTACTTAAACACGGACTCACTTTGGACAATTGAATTCCATTCCTCTCCTCTAGCAGATACCGCTGGGTGGGATTCACTTCAATACATTCTTCTTTCTTTTCACCACTTGGGATCTTAACAGGTTTCGACTTTCTGCTGGTCTTCCGAGTGCTAGATTTACTCCAAACATTGGCTTTCTTCTTGGGCCTTTTGACAACCACCTCACCCCCTGCACCATCAGTATTATCCAAAGCTGCAGACCCATTCCTCTTCACACCGACTCGCACCATCCTTGCACCATTTGTTTCATCACCTAGGATATCAAGGTACACACGTAATGTTGTCATTCGATGATCGACACCTTAACGGACAAAAAAATCCAACATGTTAAACTTGACCTAGAAGTTGACCGCTCAACCGGAGCAAGGCGATAGACTCCACTTTCACCATACCTCGATGATGTCTAAGGATTCCATAATTCATGATAATGTTGTTCTTCTTGCGACTCATACTAATCAACCAAACAACACTGCTGTTCACAAACGAAGAATTTCTCAGGGGATTTGGGAACAAATGTGAAGGAGCTAGAATGCATCCAGATTTCACAGTACACTAGATTCTTCATCAATCCATAGCATCAAAATTCCGCATTTCGGGTATAGAGTAGAACGATAGATACTATACTGTCTCCCAAGCCCATCCCCACATCTACAAGCTATTACTCGAAACAAATCTTGTCTCAAACACCAAATTTTATTAAAAAGTGAGAATTTGCACAATGTGCAGTTCATCCAGCTACGCAATTTCGAGAAAGAAGAGGTGCCGAAGACCTATTTCGTACCAGCTGGCTGTTCTCCGGCTGGTCTTTGTTCTTCGCCCTCCGCTTCTCCAGGTGCCTCAGCCATTTCGACCTCAGTGTCAGCGTCGTTGTCCGCCATGGTGGCATCGACTTCAGCTTGTCCATCGTCTTCTCCGTGTCCTTCTGCCCCTCCCTTTTCCTGAACCTGCTGCTCTACGCCATTCCTTTCACCTACATTGTGCTGACCTGCATCCCTGACTTTGTCTCCGTCGGATACCCGTACAGTCTTTTCGCTGGGAAACCCTAAACCTCCTGCAGCTTCGTGAACTACTCGCTCCTCGGCATTATCCGGCGCCTTTTCTCTCTCCGCCCGGAGCTTGTCCGTCTCCACTTCCACGGGCAAAGAGTCCATTACTGCGTCCTCCTTCTCTACCAACGCTTCAATTGCCTTCTCTTCTTGATGCTCATCTGGCTTCGTAGCCACCGTATACTCCCCTCCTTGTTCCTCCCCAGACTCCATGGTTCCGATTCCACGTTTCTTATCTCCAGTATTCAACCCCGCAGAATCCTCTTGTTGTTCCCCGATTTCCATCACTCCCTCCGCCCAAAACCTCACCACCGAACCCCCCTGACATAAACTACTCACACCTCATCGATCTCCAAAAACAGAACCGGACAATGAAGCCATACCTCCGATCCTAAACCACACATAGTACTCCCAATCCACCCAAACATTCAAACCCTAAGAAGACTACGCCACGCTCCACTCTCCCAGCTAGAAAACACTCCCGCTCCCGACATCGCCATGGTCCAGTTCCGCCACCAAAACCATTCTCCAATGCATCCTTCGAAAGACTAAAAATCGCAACAGAGCAGACGCAAACGTTCAAAACTCGAATGGATCGCTAACGCCAACGACAACACAATCAATCCGTCACGCAGACAATGAAAATCCTTCGGTACCATTCAAGAACTCTAAGCACGCTTCGCCTGAGCCACATGACACATGGGCATCTTTATCTTTTACGCCCCTTTCGAAAGACGAGCTTGTTATCTTCGCGGTTCGGGCCATGAGTCTACGCGAAACATTCATCTCCGGTCGAGGAAGAAAGACATCGGCTCGTGGCGGTAGCAACTTTCCTTTTTTCTTTCCTGTATCCAATCTTTTCTCTATTAATTGACAATTGGCAATTCCCGGGATCACGTCAATTGACGAAATATTCCGCCTATGGCCGTGTTATTGGTCCTGTCACCGCTTTAAAATGGCTGCAAGTGTTACAAGAGGGGCAAGACACAGCGCTACTTCTCACTTTGTGTTACGAAACCTTTGCTGCAGGATTGTTGAATGTGGTGGCGTTGGTGCCCTGAAGGGATGTGTGTGATTTCTTAAACTGATGTGCTTTGATTCACATGAGGGGGCTTTCAGTATATGCCTGTTTGGTTTGTCTACGTGCAGGATGGGAATGCAGTGGCGGGTACATATATTAGAGCTGAACATGGGTTTGACGATTACAATGGTTGGGAATTACGGGGACAACACAATGTGTAGAGTCACAGAGGTAACATCAGTTTTATGGTTTAGCAGAAAGAGATGCATATCGTAATCAATGTTCCGCGGTCTTTGCTGAGTTAGGCTTCCTGCAAAACCCTAGACTCACCAGTAAGCTGTCTGATTGTGCTTTCGCAAAAAAATTGGAAACAATACTGACATGACATGAACCAGGCTTGAAGCTTTAGAGCTCTTCATAATCAAATCTGTTGCAAGGGTTGGGATTTCGCTCCAATTGGCCATCGCGTGATCGACGGTTGATTCTTCTACCTCACGGATTTAGAGGTTCATTGCACGATGCGTACCCATCGCGTGTGTAATCTGACCTTCAGAGCACTGGGACTTGTCAGGAATTCCTCTCAGAACCTGAGATCTTACAGAGTGTTTGAAATGTAAGATGGTCGCACCACAGGGTTTCGCGGCCTCAGCCGCATACTGTGATGAGAAAAGCATACTCTGAGCTGATTTTGATAATTCAATCTGCCCCGCAGCGCCTCGAGCATGAGCACTAGCAAGAGAAAGCTTACAATTCAAGCAAGAACCATGGTCAAACAGATTAAGAAACATGAGACAATCACAGCAACAATGGATTCGAATAGATATGGAGCTTCTAGCATTAAAAGCCCTTCTAAGAATTCCACTCTGTTTTGTTCGAAAACTACACGAGTGAAACAAGCTATGTGCTCTTCGTTAGTGTCCGTATTTTTTCTTTCTTTCTTTCCTACTTGCTTTCTTTTTCCCTCACTGACACTATCTCTGGATTTAAACCCGCATTCATGACACGCAAACCTTGGAAGCAGCTCACGTAAACAAAGACAAAAACAAAAAAATGCCCTAATCCTCAGCCAATGAAACTCGCAAAAAAACCGTCCTCAAAGATCGAAATTACAAACTTATGCGTTGTTAGATTGGGGTGATCACAGAAGCCCCCAAAAATCAAGATCGAAGTCGAAATCCAAGATCACGGTTCAAGTATGATAGGATACATAATCCAAGTACTTGAAAGTCGGATTTCACGCATGCGACACTAATGATCATGGCCAAGAGGACCAAAGGAAATTTGAAACGTCAACAAACACAATCCAATCAGAGCTCCAGTCCTGAGCGCAGATACCCTGAGAGACAACTCTCGATACCCTTCGATGACACCGGGCTGTGATGTGAAACCATGTTGATGCTCTGGTCCTTGGACGGATTTGTCGTGAAAATGTATGGTGACCCGGTCATCACAGTAGTATCAGAAATGCAGGTCTTTCAAAATCCTTTGAAGTTTCTACAATGAGGATCTTAAAATGCAATAATATCTTTGTTATTAAATGTCCCTCTCAATGTTAAGTGTTTTAAGATTAATGCTGTTGTAAACTCAACTACACAAACAAAGAAATATATTCACACGATGCAATTAAACCAAATATGTCTTGTGCAAATCCAAGCATCCTTGCTCATCACAGTGCCTACTTTTGGGCATTTTTGCCCATAGATTTAGAACGTTTGAAAATCAAAAACTTCCATCCAGTGTTCTCATCTAATAAAAATATTAACATTAATGGGAAGGAGGAAGAAGCAATTCTAAGAAGCAATTTCTTTGATGATTAGTGGAAATGTGCACAAATGGATACTTTACGGTACAACTAATGTCCATGTTGTGAGAGCATGATGGGATACCTACAAGAACAAATGATATTTTGCTGAATATTGTTACTCAATTCCCTTCATAACCACAGACAACACACCCCAAATCATTCCCAATACACCATTTTTTTACTGGTGTGGGTGGGTATTGGAAAGTACATAAAAATACTCATAAAATTTACATAGTTCTTTAAAATTAAAAACCATGATTTCAAATGGCATAGTATCAGAATCAAATGTAGTTGTTTACATTGCCATTTTCAATATATTAAATGTAATTTTCATCTTGACAATTGGTACATGGAAAGAGCAATCAAAATTAAATTGAAATCCAAACATGGAAATGATTTTTAATGTATAAGATGTTTGTCATGTCTATTTGTAGACTTTAGTTACCGAACCTACTTGGTAAGTTATTTAATAGACCTAAACTCCGCCATTGTGGGCCGTCGGATCGCAGTTGCCACTCAGATGCGATTTCAACCGCCGATCAGATTTCTAGAAACGGCGGGAGGGAACGTAGGGAACCAGCGGGGGCAGGCAGGTTGGAGGCCGGGCAGTTTGGAGGTTGGGAACTCAGGTTGGGAACTCAGGTTGGGAACTCAGGTTGGGAACTCAGGTTGGGAACTCAGGTTGGGAACTCAGGTTGGGAACTCAGGTTGGGAACTCAGGTTGGGAACTCAGGTTGGGAACTCAGGTTGGGAACTCAGGTTGGGAACTCAGGTTGGGAACTCAGGTTGGGAACTCAGGTTGGGAACTCAGGTTGGGAACTCAGGTTGGGAACTCAGGTTGGGAACTCAGGTTGGGAACTCAGGTTGGGAACTCAGGTTGGGAACTCAGGTTGGGAACTCAGGTTGGGAACTCAGGTTGGGAACTCAGGTTGGGAACTCAGGTTGGGAACTCAGGTTGGGAACTCAAAAGCCATTCCTCATTGGGGCCGCGCTGATCCTAGTTCACATGCATGGGTGCTGGATTTTGTTCAGGAGCTGCCTCTCTATCCCACTTTTCAACCATCACTCTTGCTTCAAAGAATTATTGGATGACCTTTCTCATTATGTACATTACGTTAGTAAATGTGGTATTTTGAATTTTAAACTTGTAATAAATAGAATTTATAAAATATTACCAAAATACAGCTAAAAACTAATTTAAGTATACTTGACAACTTCAATTGTGTTATCTATTTTAATACAATTGTATATGTGTAGAAGAAATTGCAGTATTTTTCACAGATAAAAAAAAAAATAAAATAAAAGATACTATGAAGGTTTTCACATTATTCTTATTTATTATAATTATTAACTTATTTAAACTGTAGTTTATTTTAATCAACTTATATCATTAAACTAATAATGTTTCAAATATATTTTGTGTAATTTTTGTATTATACAAAATTCAGCATGTATGTGAATGTAGATCAGTGCAAGCCCAATGAAGAATGGCTTTTGAATTTCCAACCCACTGCCATCCAACTTGCTCGCTATCTAATCTGCCACCTTCCAAACTGCCAGCTTCAAACTTGCCTATTCATTCCTTGGTTCCCTACATTCCTTCCTTTTGTTTTTAGGATTCTGATCAATAGTTGAAATTGCATCTGAGTTGTGCAGCCTTGAACTTACTTGTTTGTCCATTGGTTTCCTATATTTCTTCCCTACATTTCCAGAAATCTAATCAATAGTTGAAATCACATCTGAACAACATTTGTGATTTGATGGCCCACAATGGCAAAACTAGTGAATTGAATAGAAAGATTTTTGCAACACATAGTGACGAGAGGAGGTGGTCAGATAAGGCTTGGTAGTATGATCCGTATTAAAGCACTTGGTAGCCTCTTGTTACTATGTGTTGCACAAACCTCCTTATTCAATTGACTGGCTTGAGACATCTATGCCATCAAATTTTTAGATTAAATTCTAGTTATTATATGGTCTATTGGAAACTCATGGAAAACATATAAGATAGGTAAAGGTTCTTGTGGGTAGGAGAGCGAGAAGGAGAGTACAAAAGAAATAAGGAAGGGAATGTGATAGATAGCCTAAGAGAAGTGCCAAGGATGGGTAGTACACAAGAATTGCAAGGGATGAGGATTCTATAGGAAATGAGAGAGAATTGATTGAGCATGCAATCTCATAGGAGAAAGTGGTTGTGAGCTCCAACCACATTTTCCTGATACCAACAATGTTGCATAATGGCACGACAGACATGGATGGTCTTCTACAAAATAAGCTTTATCTTGAAAGTTGCTTAGTAGAGTAGGACAAGGAAGAAGGATGGGAAGCTACCAAATTCTACAAAGAGTACTATGAAGGAAGTAGTGTCTCTTTTATAAAAAAATATGGTAGCAATCATAACAAAAGAAAAAATAAGAAAAAATGTAAGAAAACTTTTTAACAAGGAAAAATGAGTAGTAATTGTCACTAAAACGGGATTGGACTATCTGTAGGATCTAAGACCCTTCCAATTCATAGCAATACAAATCTTGTCATAATGTAGAACAATATAAACTAGAACAAAATTGAACAGCATTAAACAAAATAGAATAAGAAAGGTAGAATAGAGCTAAAGAGAATAAAACAAAATTGAACAAAAAAAAATGCAAAACCAAACTTTATTAAAAAAAAGAATCAAAACCATACTTGATCAGGCATCCAAATGGCCTTGGTTAGTCCTATTTATACTTTATCCAATTATCTTAGAACTTTCTAGAATATTCTTAATGGTGGTTCCTACCTAGATAATTGCATTAAGTCCTTTTTAGAATGTTCCATGGTAGATTCTATATAGACCACCAATCAAGCTCCAATTCTAGAAATTCCTAGAAACTTCTCAAACGTGGCTTCAATTACCTATTTCTATGTGTCAACAATACAAATATCTTATTCTTACTCCATTACAGTTACCATCAAAACATGGTTTTGTGTAAAAAGAATAGAAGTAATAAAAAATGGGCATGAATGGTGATCATCTTTTACCATCAAGAAAAAATTAGTGGTGAAAAATGAATGGAATAAATTATAAATAAGTATAGATGATGACTATTTTTTACCACCAAAGAAAAATTAGTGATGAAAAATGAATGGAATAAATTATAAATAAGTATAGATGGCGACCATTTTTTATTACCAAGGAAAACTTAGTGGTGAAAATTGAATGGAATAAATTATAAATGAATATAAGTAGTGACTATTTTTCACTACTAATGAAAAATTGGTAGTAAAAAATGGATGGAAAAAAATTACAAATGGACGTGGATAGTGACGATTTTTCACCACCAAAGAAAAATTTGTGGTAAAAAATGGATTGAAAAAATTACAAATGGATATGATTAAAGACCATTTTTTACCACTAAGAAGAAATTGGTAATGAAAAATGGATGGAAAATAAATAGAAAATGATTAATATTTGGACAATTAAGTGGTAGAGCCTACCACTATTTAGTTAAAATTTAAAATATTAGCAATAATTAATGTAAAAGTTTAGCACTAATGTAAAAATTGTAATTATTGGTAACAAATATGGAATTTAAGATTGCTACTAATAAGTAGAATTTAATTAAATTTAAGATTATTTTACCAATAAATTATTTCTTAAAATTCCATATTTGTTACCAAGATTATTGGTAAAATAATCTTAAAATTACATATTTGATTAAGGACTTCAAAGACTTTGTTAATGATTTATAATATATCTTCATCTTCCAAACTCTAAAATATAGTATCTACTTCACCTACACAAACTACAAACAATATGATTAATATTACATAAAGTTATTATTTTAAAATAATATTCTACTTATTGATAGCAATCTTAAATTTAATTATTGGTAGTAATCTTAAAATTAATTAAATCATTGGTAACAAATATGGAATTTCAAGAACTTATGGATTTTAATTTCAAGAACTTATGAATTTCAAGAACTTATGAATTGGGAGAATACTTATTTCAATGGTTGAAAGAAGATGAAACAACCACTATACTTGAAACTATTATTGGATTAGATATTGATTTTATTCATTAATAAGAAAATTTAATTAAATCATTCCATATAAAAATTCTAAAAAAATAAAAAAAATTCTTAGAAATGATTTTGAGATATTAAAGTTGCCTAATGGTGAAGATCAGTTATTTAAGAAAAAATATCTAAGCTTTATTATTTTATATATTGAAGAATGAAAATCAATAGTTTCAAATAAACATCATAAAAGAAGGTTTCATTTTGTAGATGTAAAAAATCTTTCATGTTTTTATGATTTGAAATAGATAGTAGAAAAGAACAAATATGGAATTTCAAGAACTTACATCTCTAAAATCATTAAGACTTGTACTGAGTGTCAATCTGAAAAATCTAGATTTGAAAGAGTGATTTGTCCAAGAGGTCAATAATATATACAACATCGTACAATTCTTCCTATTCAAGAAGAAGAATTTATGAATAATTTAATGGCCAAACATGTGTTGGTATTGAAGCTAATCCATCAATATCAAAGAAAGATACATTATGCCTTAAAGATGGCAATTTGTATGTGCCATTGAAGACAAAAGTTTTGTAGGATGAATATTGATTCAATCAAAAATATTAATAATCATCTAAAAGATATGTGGGATGTAAGTTTTTTGTAAAAATTATACATCAAGAAGATGAAAGGCAAGATATTGAAGTTTATGCCAATTCAAGCTATAATGGCAATGATCTTAGATTAAAGAAGGATTTTATTTTATTTTATTTTATTTACTTATTTATTTATGAGCAATTAATAATTATACTAAGATGTTAAGTAATCTTAATAATATCAAATTTGTCTTAAAATATTCTTAGAAATATAAAGATATTTTAAGATAGAAAGCTTTATTGCATGAACAATAAATATTTTATTTATTTTTAGATCCAAAAGAAACATCAAATCTATCATCTTGTCTTCAAATAAAAAAAAGATACAATGAAGACAACTATAATGTGGTAAGAAAAATAGTCCGTAAATAGATAAAAAACAAAAAAATAATTTTCTACCAAGCTTATGATCTAGAGAATCCAATAGTAGAGAAGAAACCATTTATATTAGTGATGCAAATAAAAGACATGCTTGATAGAATAAAAGATATTACACCAAACTTGACATGGATCATGAACTCATCATTTAAGACCAATAAATAGAATATGTTTTGTATGTTAGAATGTACTCTAATGCAATGGAATTAGAGATGCCAATTTTTATGATATTTTGTAGGGCTGACAAGGATAGTAGTCAAGAACATCATTATATCTTATAATGTGTGTTGTGTTTCAAAATGTAGGTATAATTTGACCAAATGCAATAGCAATTGATAAAAATAATACAAATTATAAGGCTATAATGAGATCCATTAAAAAAGACTATTTATATTGAAAAAATGAAAAAAATAGTAGAATTCAAGTAAAGTGCCATATGCTTTTGTATTGGTTCTATATAAAAAAAGTATGGATCAAACATTCATTGCCTAAATTATCTAAAATTAAATATTCTAATTTATATATGATAATGTGCTCTATATTAAAAGCTAACATTGAGAATTTTTTGATATTAAGTATAGAAAATTTAAGATTACACATGCTAAAAATAAAAGGGTACTTAAATATATAGAAAATAATTAGATAGGACACAATTGCCAATAAAACCTAATGTGGCCAAAATAGACCAAGTTATATTGCCATGAACATGCAAATATAAATAATCTTGTAGAACATATGTGAGAATATGTGACATATACTATTTTAAATTGAAAAGTCAATTGAAAACTTGATATGCTCATCATTGCATTGATAGGCAAGTAAGATACATGACATTATTTTGAAAGAATTACTTTGGTATAACATTACAACAATGCTCATATAATGAAAAAATTAGAGAAGTATTCTTTAAGAGATGGAGACAAACAACAAACATCAAGGTTGTAAAGAACTAACTGGTTGGTTGAATGTTACAAACAAGATCAATTGTCAAATTTAAAAGTTCTTGATGCATGCTACATGGAGTGAGTCTTTTGAAGCTAAAATATTCCAAAAAAATAGTATATTGTCAATTTATCTTGCAAATGATATGAATGCAACAATTATAGTCCCATTTATAAATATATTTAGGCTATGAAATGAATTTTTAATGAAAAATATCTACATCTATTGGATTTATTACCAATTGTATTTAAAAACAATGACTTCTTCAATCAAAAAAAAGTTTTTGATGATGGCCCAAGTGATGGATCATATAATTGTACAAATAATGGATTAAATGATGGTTTAAGTAATAGAAGATAGAGTAAAATTCAAATTCTTAGACATAATATTTAAGTTCATAAATTATTTGAAATAACTGGTTTGGTGATACCAAATAAGATGGAAGCCTTAACCATGGAATAATATAATGTATTTAATAAAGCAAAAAAAATCAATCTTAGCACTTTTAGGAGATACAAGGAACTTATTGCCAAGATACCTACAAATCCCTATGCCAAGCAAAGATAGTAGTATCACTCTTATACAAACTCATATTACAAATACTAGATTTGGATTTAGAAGCCAAATGAAGAAGCAAAAATTTGATAATGAAGAAGGATATGGCTGAAAGAATCTAATAGCACCAAAACTTGGTAGATTCAAAGTTTTATAACAAAGACAAGAAGTTGCTCAGAAAAAAGCATATGTAAGTGAGACTATCTAAGTTTTGCAAAGAAAAATGTCTAGAGTGTAGTGATCTAAACCTATAATTATTGAAGTCAACAAACTTAAGTGCATAAATTGCCAATATATGATTATAAAAGATGATAATAGTGTTGTATTAAATAAAGAAGGATGCAATTTTGACTAAGATGTAGAATTTTTTTTTAAAGATTTAGATTTTTATTAAGAGTATGGATGCAAAATTTGGTACTTTATATAAGAATTTTATTTGATTGGATGGTAGTTCATATGTGGTATTTTCCATTATATATAATAAAGACTCATGTTAGTGGTGTTTTTTTATGTCCACACTATTATGATTATTGCATTTGTTTTAGTTGTAAAACTACCTAGATACATAATGCTTGTAGAAAATGTTTTATGATTTGCAAAATATTTTGAAGAGAAAATTTCCAATATTTCAAATAAATTATGTGTAATTTAAATATTTAATAAAAAATTAAGTAAAATTTAGCCAATATGTATTTAATTTCTTGTAAAAAGATATAATCAATAATGAATCCTTGTTTACAAAACATCTGTGTTTGAGAAAAAAAATTAATGAGTAAATTTTTGAAGTTTCAAAATTTCTCCCTGTAAAAAAAAATATGATGTACATGCATGTGCCGTTGTGTATGGAAAAAAAAAAAAAAAAAAAAAAAAAATTGAAGCACGAGTGATGGTTGAAAATTGGGATTGAGAGGCAGCCATGAACAAACTTCCGCATCCATGAATGTGAATGTGGATCAGTGTGGGCCCAATCAGGAATGGGTTCTGAGTTCCCAACCTGCCGCCCTCCAACCTGCCCGCCCCCTGGTTCCCTTCCGTTCCCTCCCTGCGTTCTCAGTAAATCCTGTAACGCCCAGGATTCAATCTGGAAATCTGACGGCCTAAATGTCTCGAGCCGGTCGATTGAACTAGGAGGTTTCTGCGACACGATTTTACGAGGCTTGGCGGCCCGCGGAGCCCCTCGCCTCGCAGCCATGGCCCTTGTCCCTCGCCTCATTCGCCGCTTCCGAGCCCTCGCCGCGGAGCTCCCATTGCGTCGCAGTGCGCATTCCGGTCTCAATCACGCTCTCGCGCCCTACTTCTTTTGTTTTTTTATTTATTGCGCGCTCCTCTTCGTTTTGCTTCTCTAGGTGAATCTCTTCTCCATCGCTGCGTTGTAGCAGCAGGTATGTGATCTGCATTGTAAAGGTTGCTAGCTTCCCAATGCTTACCTCTCAGCTTTTCAAGTTGTGTTCAGTTTACCTCTCGGACTTTCGTTCCCCGATCGTCTTTGTAATTTGGTTGCACTTCATTTTGGAAGTGAGTCGGGGGAACGGGGACTTATATTGATAAGTGATGTCGCCGTCTTTTATTGCGCTTATTTCTTATTTCGATTTCGGAATGCAGTGTTGTATAGGAAAAAGCGTGTGTTAAGGTTTTGCGTTAATTAGCGTGAGGATTGGCCAGATTCCGTGTGTTTCGTCGATCTTCGTGCAGGATGATTGCCCTTTTTACTGTGTTTCCTATGAAGCACTTTGTCGACTTTCCTTGATTAGACGATTGGCTTGATTGCTATTTTTTGGGCAGAGATTTCTCTTTTCTCTTTCCTACTCTTTGTCGACGCTTGAGCAGTTCCAGCCTCCGCCGGAAGCGTATCGTGATTGAGGTTGATTTGGTAGCTTCTGCCTCGTCGGTTAAGGAATAGTGCATTTTTGAGTGTGCCTGTTCATTGGGCACCTGCGCTCTTAAATCGTTGAAAGTGTTTCCAAATCGTCCCGTACAATTTATTCTTTTGGAGTGTCTTGAGTGGATATAGTAACCAAAATGCGCAGGCTTCTTTGCTACCGAGGTAATTGAATTTATTTTTCTGCGATATTCTGACTCTTGCATACTGGTCTTCGACCCCGTATTGAAAAATTGTCTGGATGAGCGTATCTGTTTTCTTGATATTTAGATGTTTTGTCGAATGTTTCCAGCTTGTTCAATTGAGGCTTTTGAGGGAGCTTTGAGAGAGCCATGGGGGAACTTGGCAACTGGTGCACCTACGCACGACATTGAATTGGTTGCAGGGATATCACGTCAACTTGTTGTTTAGGTATTGTTTCTTCCCATATTTGTTGCGAGTTTTCCTACCGATGCAATCTTTGAACTGCAGGCATTTGGTAATTCCATTCGTCCACAATTGCGCCACAGGTCACAGCAAAAATCAAACTTCGTTGCATAGTTCTGTGGTCATAGGTCTGCTTACGAATACTACGTCAGGTCAAAGCTTATACTGTACTTCATAGTAGAGTGAGCGTTTCATTCAAATTTATTTCCATCACCTTTCATCAATTCGGCAACTTTACGATACATATCCTTGAGGCTCGAATTTCTTCGATCATGGAGAATTTTATGTCTGACAGACCCGTTGCAAGAATTCGAGTGATCCCGACTTAGTAGTCATTTGGTATTAACTCATACATAATTTTATCGTGTATTCTGTCGGTTGCTGTTATAATTAATTTTCAGGTTTTGGGCCGTATTTTCTATTTAACACATTTATTACCCTCTTTTAAAGCTTGTAGATAGTCTCCATCAGTTCAAACCCTGGGGTTCTTGTGCAGTCACCCAGACATACAACAGACTGGTTTCAGAAATTCTCTATTCCTCTCCTAGTGTCCTTGTCAATGTTTAGTACCTACTCTTGTTGATCTTGTTTTCATTTCCTTGACAATAAAGCTTCATGTCATTTTTGGAAATATATTGCCCAAAGTGTCCTTGGATCTCTTTTAGTTATTGTATGCCTTGCTCTGGATGTGATCTTCTGAGTCGAGGCGATTAGTTTTATGACGTTGGAATTGCTCCTCGCCTCGAGATTGAATGTACTAGGATCAGTTAGAATGTATGTACCGTCATCGGTTCAAGTATCTACTCTCTTAATGATTATCTCACCTCAGATTTAGTCGCTGCACTTTGTCCTTGGTGTTTATGTGTTCTTAATGCCTGCAGATAGGTTATTGTGCGGCGAGAAAAAGCATGCACATTGCTTGCCTTCCATCATTCATTGTGGTTCAACATTGATACAAGCAGTGCTTATCATGGGGTTAACCGACGTTGATGGTGGTTACGGGGTAAGTCCTCTTTATTCTTGGAGGCATGAAGTTTTACGAGTACGTTGAATCAGTGTGGTGCATAAGTAGGGAAATTCCTGTTAAAGAGGGTGATTCTATCAGTACACTCTTAAGAGGAGTGGCGAAGTATTCATATTTTTATTTATCCTTGGGATGACCAGTCAGAAACAACATATTTCTTAATAGTCGTATGACAGTAAAAACATCACTTTAAATGTATGGTTATCTGAAGTTTATGGGTGGTCTCTGTTTTGTCAATGATGAAAATTTTCACTACTCGTCTGCCACTTTGCTGTGCTTTGCCAGTTTATTTCGTTGTAATAGGCATAACTTGCCTGGAGTAATTTGACATGTCGGTTTAAACAAACTACTGAGATTTTCTGTGGGACTTCTACTGAGAGAAACCAATTAGAATCGATCTCAAATGAGAATCATTGCAGGGATAGACCGTGTTCTTAGCGTAAATTGGTCATGAACACGTTTGTTGTAACGATTCAGTTGCCGATAACTCAAGAAGGGTGGTAGGTCAGTTTGCATCATGTGCTGTAAGAATTATGCTTGACTGACATGTTAATACTTTTCTTTTTGCAGGGTTTATATGATTCTAGCGACGTGTTTGGGTAAACTTCGTCTCAGCTTCATTTTTTCCTCTTCTACACTATGCCCTGATTACGAAATGAGTGGAGTTGTCTGTCTTATGAGTTCAATCAATGGCAAATAGCACAACTTATTGGGTTTAAGAATGGTTGCGACATCCATACGATATTCATAGACCTCCATTAGTTTTGCTTTTGTGCATCCGCCATTAGTTCTAGAGCTCTTTCATAATGTATCTTATTTTTTTAAGTGCGGCTTCAATTCCATGTATCATTCTGTGCTCTAATCTGTAAGCCCTTTTTGTAACCTTGTACTATTTCTTCAACTTGCAGGGATGATACTTTTGCAGACATTCACAATTTGGACCACTGCATTAAGTATCTCAACCAGTCTTTAGTTACATTTGGCTTTCCATCAGGACTAGATCTTTACTCCAGTGAACCAGTAAGTTGTCACTACTGTTTTGTAGCTTCACAAATTTTATTCAGTCAATTGTTTAGGAATCATCAAGTAAGACATAAGAGACTTTTACAAACGGCATAGTTCTTCCAGATGGTGGTTGTGAATACTGCGTCTGATAACTTATGAAATGGCCTTCTATCTGCAGTCTTCAATCGTGCGAACATGCAACTGCATATATGCCATGATTCAGCAGCGACAGCGGGACATCGAATATCGTGAAGCAGCCAATGACTCGAGGCAAAGGTGCGGTCTCTTGTTCTTGAACTCAATGTTTGCTCAATGTGTGTGAAGTCTAGAATCCGGCGCTACAACTATTTGCATGGATCTTACAAACCTAACCATTTCCTTTCGAATGCTCTCATCTATCAGAATAATCCTCGGTTATTTCTTTGAAACATGCTGAGTATTTGCATTGAACTGTGCAGGCTAATGTCAGATATGTCCCGGCTTGAAGCTAAGGTGGAAAGGCTTACTGATCAGCTGGCAAGTAAAGAACGTGAATTGCAAGCAATCACAAGCAAGGTATTCTAAAGTCTGCTATGTCATCGGCTGACTCATGAATCTCTATGCAGATTTCGAATCCAAGACTTGTATGATGGTGATTGAATTGCTTCAGGTTCCTACAATCTTTCATCTCAGGATGTTTATCCTTGATTGGTTAGGATGAGCTGGATAATCAGCTACATTTCAAGTTGGGAGGTTCTCTTTTTTTTCATTGAACATAACGAGTACCGTTAATATTACACACTGGCTTTTCTACGGCTTTTGATAATCTGGTTCTTGTTGGTGCTCTGGACATATTGTCACACTGATATCAGGAGCAAAAAGCGGCAGCTACTAGCAGAGCTCAAATTGAGAAGCTCCAGCATGAGAAAGATGAGTTTCAAAGGATGGTGATTAGTACACAGGTGAGAAGATGTTTTCGACCTCTAGATTTTGGAAGATTGGATTTCAGAAAATAAGGTCATTGTTTCTTGGAAGTTTTTCGTAATTTACTTTTCAGGACTTCAGGTTGGTTAAATTTACTAAACCTGTTTTGTGTGTGTGTTTTTCTTGTCAGCAAGTTAAAGCTCAGCAGATGCATGAACTGAAGAAGAAAGAGAAAGAGTATATCAAGTTGCAGGTATATGAAGACTCTATTTGCCAACAACGATGCTACTACAGGTCACTATGTGATTATGAGTCCTTCGCATAGCGCTTTTTTTTCTTTTTTTCTGATGAACTGTGTTGGTTTGTTGGCTGGTCCAGGAACGGTTGAATCAAGTATTAATCGAAAAGAAGAAAGATTCTAAGAATGGTATTGAGATCATGAATTTATTACAGGTAACTTTTCTTCCTCTCTAGACCTGTTCGCACACGCTCAAATCCTCTGGAAGATGTTTGTATCTTAATAACGTTTAAACATTCGCCGGTCATTAATTGAAGTTTTTTTCTAAATTCCTCATATGAGGTAATGCTCGTGATTTGAATTATTTTTTAACAACCTTACGTATCTCAGTCACTATGTGTTTTCATTGGACTCTAAGCAGAAAGAGGGCAGGCAACGGGGGACTTGGAACACCAAGAAAGCAGATGGTGATTTCTATAAGATGATAGTGAGTGAATTTTTCTCGAATCTTTAATGTATGTTTCATAGTGAAGCTGAGTCAGTACTTGTGCTCTACTTTTTCTGCGCATGTGATCGATCGACTTAGATTCTGACGGTATCCATTTGTCATGATTTCTGTATCCTAGAAATGTTGTTCGGGTTAGTACTACTGGTTTTCTTCAGGTTTAACAATTTTGGCAGTCTTGTAATAGAAAACACAGTAGTGGAATATTGCGTGATCTGATGTTTGTTGTATAGGTGGATGCTTATGAAACAAAGAAGCAAGATCTTGTGGCTGAAAATTTGGAATTGCGGGGTTTGCTTCGATCTATGCAGGTATGAAGCTAGTGCTAGACTCTCTTTTCCTCAACATTGTGACAGTACATTCTTTTGTTGACGAAAGAGTGCAGTGTAGCAATTTCAAGTAACTTTTGGCACCAGGGAGTAAAATTCTGATGTTTGGGCTTAACTTTTCTTTATGATGCAGGATGACATGCGTGATTTTTTGAACACCCCGAGTGGGCTGATTAGACCTGGCACTGGAGTAAGCTCTCACGAACATGAACCACCTGCCACACCCCTGGGAGGCCGAACGGTAATTGCAATCATTCATTTCGCTTGCAAACTCCTATGTTGCACTTACTAAAGCTTTCTTCTTCTCCTTGGGCTTTGATGTCATGAGCTCTATGACGCGTGGCCCTTGTGAGGTCGTACAGAACATACTACATATGTGGTAACTTCGTTTGCGAGTTTAGGTCATGTTGTACCCACTGTTAACTATTTGAGGTGTAAAAATATCAGACCCGTAAAACGTTCCATCAAATGTGCTGATTGAGCCGTGCTAAGTATCAAGTACCAAGCATCCACTCCAATAAATTGAACCTTGTGCACATTGTGCAGGATGTATTCGACCTACCTTTTCATATGGCGAGAGATCAGATTGGAGAAAGCTTACGTGCTAAAATGTCTACCATTAAAGTAAGACCTGTCACATATGGTCATTGCTCGGCTATTTGTTCTTCAATATGTTATTGAGCAAATGTGTCGTGCAACACTAGTTAAATAAATGATTATCATACTACTTTACTACTTGAATACAGCTACGATGATCGAAAATTTTGTGATGAATTTGTATCAAGTTTGGTCTTCACTCAGACAATGTCATCCTTTATTTATTCTTTTCTATCGCCTTGTTGGCTGTAGTAAAAGTTGCTCGTGTTTTTTCCTCTTATCAGGAACGAATGATGCAGCTGCAAGAAAGTCAAAAGTTACTTGATGCAGGAAGAGAAACTAGTGAGCGCGAGCAAGCTCTTGAGGCGCAGCTTCTAGAGGCCCGCAGCATTATTTCTGAACAGGTATCCTCCCTGTCTCTGCACCTGATTTGTTGCACCTTTTATTGATCCTGTTCAAATCATGATTTGAACAGCAGAATACTTGCATTTAAGAGGAATCTGAGCCGAACAAGTCTCGTTTAACCAATGACACCACTCCTCGTTTCCGGAGCATTTTAATCCTTTGATATGGCATCTTTTCGCAACTTCAACTTTACACGAACATAATGTAGACGTGTAGAGTATCCAACATACGTTTTGCAGTATGCATCTATCGAGGCTTATGGGTGTGATGTCTTTAATGGTGGTGCAGGCTAGTCTAATGAACAAACACATGTCGGAGGAGGATGACAGCAGGTACAATGGTTTTGTGCTTGTTCCTGAAAGGTGATCCATGTTTTCCTCATGTGTCTAATCTGCAGGTTTTGAAACAGTCGTTTAATCTCTCTTAACCCTCGAGAGGTTTCAGTAGTGGTTTTGCTAGAGTTGGATATGCATGAATGTGTTGATTTGTATGAAATTCTATTTAATTATGACTGTCTCCAGGTTTTTTTGATTGATATGATATCAATATAGGATCATGTCATGAAATTAATGCATTGTTGTGTGTAAAGTGATAGAGTTAATTGTTTGCTTTAGTTTTGTGCCAGCGTCTACGCTAATTTCTGCTACAAATGGTTACTAACTATCAGATTTTTTGTTTTTATTTTTCTTGCAGTCACGTCATTGCAAAGTTAATGGAGTCGGAAAATAAAGCAAGTACTGCACAGGGCGTGAGTATCCTTTGGCTTTCTCATGATTTTTAATAAATTAGTTGACTTCAATAACAAGATTCTGGATTGATTGGTTTCTTTCCACAATTTTAGGATAAACTTCTGGCATGATAATTTGCCTCTGAAACAGGTTAAAATGGTGGTTACTGAACAAACCATTATCATAGTTGGGTATTTTCTCAATCGTTTCTCTCGAGATATTTAGAGAACAACACGTTCCCTCGCAATTACTCAGATAAATTTGTATTTTCAATCGATGGTCCGAATCATACTGGGATGTTGCGAACAGGAAGAGGAGCGAATATCAAAGATAAAGACATTTGACGGGACAATTTTATCCAAGGTATTCTAACTAGTTTTGTAGTCCTACATTTTGATTTTGGGCTTGTTTTATACTATTCTGATCTTTCTTAGTTTTCTCGAATGTCTGGATTGAACAACTGAGTGGCTTATCTCGGTTAATCAAAGCAATTAGACTTAAGATATCTTGGTGTCTCCCAGCGTATTCTTATCCTCACTCTAACATGCTCATGCTCATACTCACAGAGCTGATCAATTGTGCGCAGACCAACTGTGTAGAGTATAATAACATCACAGTAATCACTAATGATGATGTAAGGGTTAGGGATGCCTATTTTCTTCATCGGAGGACACTTCCAAATGGAGGTCTTAGAGCCCATCCTGATCGATTGTGCGCAGACCAAGAGTGGAGAGTATGGGAGCATTAGAGTAGTCACTAATGATAATTTAAGCGTTAGGGATGCCTATTTTCTTCATCGGAGGACACTTCCAAATAGAGGTATTCGAGCCCATCGGGTACCACTTGTGCCCACGGGATACCAGTAGCATCACTGGTATTGACCGATGTCTCCACGGCTCGTGAAGACTTGTTGCGATCTAACAAACAGTTCTTATTTTGGATCTACTAAGGGTGAGTATAATTGGGTCGCGGCTGTGAGGAAACTGTTACTCCTTTTTCCGAAGATGACGATTCTACGAACACAATGGTACATTTATGTCAATGACCTGTGAAGGGTATGTAAATTTAGAACTATGTAGACTGGGTATTATTTGGAGCGCGTCGAGGAGCGATTGTGATACAACCGCTAAGAAGTTCCTCACCCGGTCCTTTGCATCATCAAAGTCTTGGTTTGATATTATTCTCCAGTTCATACAAGAATCTGGTATCGTCTTTCTTTATTTTCGCTAGTATTGATGCATCCATCCACTGTGTCGGTTAAAGTCACTGCCAAACACTCTTCTTTTAGAGTATTCTTTTTTAAACAAATGAGGGGTCGAAGTTGAAAAGAACAGGAGGATGAATTCTGTGAGGATTTCACAAGATCCTACTTCTGGAAATTTAAGTTAGAAGTGAGTTGATAAAGTCGTAATTAATTATTATCTGAAACTTTGTCTAAGAAAATATGTGTGGTAAGGGAAAGTATTGAATCATTGTGGACGGCATCTTGGATCATTGTGTAGATGTAAAGTTCGTTATGGAAAATATTTACTATACTACGAACATAGTTTCAAAACGTTGTGACGTTTGATACTTGCACGTATATATATATATATATATATACGTACTTCCACACTTCAAGGCTACTGGGTATATTAGATTTATTTAATACATGGATTTATGAATTTATTTCAATGAATTGGAATATCTTTAAGTTTTATTTCTACATAATGGTTTTGAAACAATATGCTTATGTGATTAACGGGTCTTAGTAACAGGAGAGAATGTGACAGGAATTAAGGGATTGAGACCTAACACACACAAAAATCTGCACTATTTTTAAATGCAGTGACATGTGACAAGTTTTACATTGTTGATACTTATCTCTATAAATATATATATATATATATATATATTAATATTTATATTTAGTTAATTATTTAGGGGAAAGATAATTAGACCCAAGTTTTTATTAAATCGATCCACCCATTCTAACCATCATGAAAAGAAAAGAAAAGAAATCTCTAGATTCATTTTTTCATAATTGGATTTGCAACCAATAAAAATCAACCACATTCATCATGATTACCATATTCTTCATCAATAGTGGGTCTATTTAGTAAAAATACAGGTCTATTTAACAATCCTATATATATATATATATATATATACACCTTTGGAAGAACATGTATAAGAAACTAGAAGAATAGGAGGAACATTGAGTAAAGCTTTGTTTAAAAAAATGTTTCTTTTATTCTCCTTTGTGCCAAATATTCATGAGGGTATGATATTTGAAGTGTATAGTTTTTAAAGACATTATTGTGTTAATTCAACACATAGATATAAATTATGTGATATACAAATGATGCTCTCAAAGCATTATATCCTATCATTTTATTATACAATAACACACCATTGGATGTATTTATAAATAAATGGGGAGTACAATGTTCATGTATGTCGTAGAACACACAGTTTAGTTCTCTTCAGGAAGACTTAGAAGATGGTCGTTAGAATAGAAAAAAATATTAAAAAATGAATTTAATAAGTAAAAGTATTAGAAAATAAGAAGATATTAGAATGGTACATATTATCGTAAACTCGTGGTACAACATATTAATGAAATGTTTTGATTGTTTGTTAAATCTTCTATCCAGTCATGGTTAAGCTCACAGATGTGGAACAGATTTAAAAAATATATTAAAAATGGATGTAAGAAAAAGACAAAAACTTACCTTTAATTACTTGTGTTTTATAAATATAACTTTTCACTTTTTTCTAAAATTATACAGATTTTGTACTGAAGGAACAGTAATTTTAACTGGATATCTAATTTCAGATATAACATTAATTCAAATATGTATCCTTTCTTCATATATGTGTATTTGTTGTGGCTCTAATTAAAAGTTGGCATAGTTAAGTCTAGTGTAGAGATTCAAAAGATTTATTGCTAGGAAAGGCAACATGGCCTAAACACAATGGTCAAATTTGATGCTTCAAAGCTAAAAGTTGAAAACATGAAAGATTGTATTTGTAGGGTATGAATAGCATAATTGAATCACATTGGATTTGCTAGCTCCACTTAATTATGTTGGATGCAAAATAAGAAATTCAATAAAGTTTAATTCATATGAAATAATTAATACATATAATTGTTCAAAACTTAATTATTAATAGAAATTAATATTTTTTTTCCTATAAATATTCTTGAGGTTGGTAACAAAAAAAAAAAAAGGTTGATTATATGCTTTTCATCTATACAAATTATTGTAAATGAAGATAATTTAGCCTGAAATATTAATAAAAACAAATAACACTAAAGTTAAAAGAAAAACAAAAAACAAAGTAAAAAACCTCTAAATTTTAGAGAATATTGTGGTGTTGTGGATAGATTTTGACATTTGAAATTGTTCATTGAAGAGTAGGCCAATATTAACAATAATTTTTCTTGTTAATAGTGTTATAAGTTTTTAAAATTAGAATGTGTATTTTTAAGCCATGAATATTAACAAAAACTTTTATTTAATAATATATGTTTTTTTATTGCTAATTATTTTATCAAGTATTAATCTTTTTAAATTAAAAAAATTAATAAATTTATTTTCTAATATTCACCTTATTGAATTGTGGTTAGTAAAGAAGCTGTTTGACAATATTTATTTTGCTAGATTGTGGTAGTTTATAAAATTGTTATATACATATAAATTAGTTGCTAGCATTTGTCTTATTAAATGATGGTCACTACTAAGACGATTTTTCATATATATATTTTATTAAACTATAATGTAAAAGATTTCTTTTCTTAATAATCATTATTATTTTTAATTTTTATGCATGTGTTTATCTTAATGGATTCCAATTTTCAAAGACATTATATCTTAGTATTTTCTCTCTTTAGATTACAAAAGTAGTTTTTTTTAACAATTATTGTAATTTAAAGCAATATAAACGGCTTGGTAGATTGTAATCATTAATAAAGACTTGTTAATATTCATCTTCATAAAGCCTTTGTTCAATTAGGTGCTTTCTTGATATTTGTGAAGGTAATTAATAGCCATTAATGAGATTTTTTGATATACACTCGATGATTTATTTAGTTGAACTATTATACAAATGATTTATTTTTTTAATAATTATTCTTAATTTTAATTATTGCACATATGTTTATCTTATTAGATTCCAATTTTTGTAGGTATTAATTTTTATTATTCTCTCTCCTTAGATTACAAAAGTAGTTTTTTTTATAAAATAATTAGTGTGTTTTTTAAAAAATAAAATGGCTTGGTAGATTGTAATCATTAATAATGCCTTGTAGATATTCATGTTACAAAATTATGGTGTTGAATAAGGTGTTTTCTTGGTATTTTTTAAGTTAGATAATGACCATTAATGAGATCTTCTTGGTATTTACCTTGATAAACTATGGCCATTTAAGAAGTTATTATTATGAAATTATTTTTATTTTTGATTATCTTTGTGATTTTATTTTAAAAATTTCACAACCAATAATAAGATCAATTTTGATTGAAAATGGTAGTTAAAAAATATTTTAGATACAAAAGTTGACTATACAATGTTTTAATATTAATTGTATTTCTTACAATCTTTTAAAGTTTTTATAAAAGTACAATTGAATTAAGAAAGGATTTGATATTTACAAATTATAATCTCTCACTCTCTCTCTCTATATATATACATACATATATACAATATTTTAGCTATTTTTTGTTTATTATAAAAAATATTTAGAAATAAAATATTACATTGCATTTAAAACTTATATTTCTATCAGTTGTATTTTTGGTATAAAAAGCTTGAAATACATGGGTAATATTTTCTATTACTTTAAAAATTTCTATAATGTATAGTTAACTAAAAATAATGTTGTGGAGATTTATGTTAGCTAAAGAAGTAGTAATAAACAAAATTAACTTGGAGTAATAACATAATCTTTGTGAAACATTGTAAAGCTTTTGAGGTGTGGATTGGACATATAAGTATTATTCTAGTTATGGTTTAAGATTTCCTGATATTTTTATATTTGACAATGGTTATTTTTATTTGTACTATATATATGTATATGTAATTTTTATTTTATAAATTTTTGTAATAAACTATTTGCTTTATTTAGAAATTACGTTCAAAGTTAATGTTGTACTTAATTATAAAATTCAATGATAATGTATCAAACTATAAAAATATTGTATATATAAATTCATTTATATAACCTAATAAAAAAATTGGGTTTAATTGTAGAAACAAGGAGTAAAATCCTGTGTAATATTGTTAATATTATTCTTATTTCTCTAAACATAAAATTCATGTTTAATTTTTGTGATAAATATCTGATTTTTTTATATAATAAGAAATTTGAATCAAATGATATATTATACGTAAAAGATAATCCAACTTCAAATATATCCTGATTATTTTATATTCCATAACTAATATTCCTCGCTCACCTCATAATATTTGCAGGAATGGAAGTCTTTCTTAAGTCATATACTCAAAACTGTTGAATTCATAACGTTGCATAATTTATAAAATTTCTACCCACCAAAGTTATAAACAAAAGAGGGTACAACTATGTGTATAAGTTTTTTTTTTTTTTTTTTTTTTTTTTTAAATAAAAAAACCATTCAATGGTATGCTATGGTTCTACTTGCATTGACTAGCATGTAGTACAACACGTGCATTAACTAGCTCAACTAGAATAAGACCAAGTTGCACAACATGGGTTGACTTTCCACCCAAGGGCTAGACTTACAATCCACCCTTATGACCCATATCTATTCTACCATCTTTCCTCAAAATTTTATTTTATTATTATCCTTCAACATCAAATTCCAAAATACATGAATCACAACCCAGTTCATGTTCAGATCACCTGGAAATAAGTAGAATCAAAACTCCACCTTATCATCCCACCCTTTCAACCTCTAAACTTGCCAAAGAAAGAGCAAGGAAATCCCAAAATCTGCGCAAGACGGGCTCCACAAGCAACAGCTCCACCGACTGACAAGACGCATCCTTTTCTATCTATATCAATATATATATATATATATATATAGTAATGTATTCAGAAGGAGTGAAATGAATTAGGGGGGGGGGGGGTTGTGTGACGGTACGGTTGACTTGGGTGCAAGTCCACCATTGTCACAGTTCCACCAAACCAGCAACGCGGTCCGAGTTCGGAGACGCCTCTGCACCTGCACTTGCTGTTGTTGTTGTTGTTGCATTGCAATACCTGCAATTCTGGGTGCTTTGCTTTTGCAAGAAGGAAAGGAAATCAAAGCACTGTAGTAGGATTCTAGGTGGTGTTGGTGGTCGTGGGGTGCTGTTGCTGCTGCTGGTTCACACTGTCGAGGTGATGCCATACGCAGCTTAGCTCAACGCTAGATCGGGAGCTTGCGTCGTTCTTGACGTGCATGTACCGGGTTTTGCTGGTGAGTCTGTGTTCTTTCTCTAGAAGTGCTTCTTTTGAAGATTGTGATCGTGTTGTTGTTGTTGTTGTTGGATTTGAGCTTGTTGGCATCATTGTTCCGCGTAGGCACTAGACATAGCGAGCAGGTTGCTAGATTCACCTCTGCCCAGTGATTGGGTCGCAGATCTGTGTGTAGTTTGCTAGCTTGTTGCGTGGACTCGAATTCCCCGCGTGTTAAGTTTGAACGTTGTCTTTACCGACAATGAACTTAGCTAAGACTTCGGCAGAGTGAATCCCTGGAATTTCGTACTATTAGAATTTGGTTAGTCCGCCACCACTTCGTTGCTCTCGACGCCTCTCAGAAGCAGTTTCGTTAGACGTCGATTCGTTCTTGAACCAGTGCAGTGGCTTCGGATTCTCACAATTTCACCAATGTTAGCTTTATGCACCAGCCGAAGTTTTAGATTCGTACGGATCGATGTTGCAGCTGTTTGGTGTTTGGTAGATCGTGGTTTTTTGCAATTTTTTCGTCGTCGTCTGTTCTTGCTAGTGGCACGGTGAATGAGCACGATTGAGCGGGTAACTCGATAACTCACCTTGTCTTGTGAACAAATTTCAGGCAGTTGGGTGCGACAAAAAACAACGGATCCTGCGATGGAGTGGACACCAAGCACTGGTCTTCATGGGTCTAATGCGTACCAAAACCCTAATTCCAATCTGTATCCATTGGATCCAGATTCGGAAGTGTATCTAAATCAGACTCCTCCAACAAACCCACCATGGGCATTAGGGTCTCAATTCAGTGCAACCAGCGCTCCTGCATTGCCTGATAAGCACGGTCAGGTTGCGCAATATCCTCCGCCTCCACATCATGGCCACGAATATTTTTCTGAATGTTACAATAATAACCTCAGTCCCAGTCAAGGGAGTCCTCAGACATCCCATCATACTGGTCTGCATCAAAGCTATCCTCCCAAGCCGTCTGCTCCTCTCTACCCAGAGAGCCCACTGAAAGCATCTGATGCAAATTCTTCAACCGATTCTTGGCATGACCAAAATGGCGGAGTTGGCAGCGCTTCTCCGCATGCAGGTAAGAATCCTCCTTCATCACAATTTGAAACTTACCCTTATATGTATCCAATGAAACCCCATCCGCCCGCTTCTGCATTCGATACTTCTGTGCCGAGCAGTTTCACTTATCCACACCCTACGAACCCTCTTTCAACCTCATCTGACTCTCCAACCTGCTACCCTCCTCCTGCAAACCCCTCGCTCACACCGCCATCGTCTCTGACACATAGCTTGCCGAACAATTTCTCTTATCCACACCCTCCATCTACCTCATCTGACTCTCCAACCTGCTACCCTCCTCCTGCAGACCCCTCGCTCACACCGCCATCTTCTCTGACACATAGCTTGCCTACCAATTCTTCTTATACATATCCTACAATCCCTCCTTCAACATCATCTGGCTCTCCAACCTCCTACCCTCCTTCTGCAAACTTCTCTACCCTACCGCCACCGCCAAACTGCACTCCCACTGTGCATGGGAGCCAGCCGCCGTTTCCTCCTAACATTCAAGGGTACGCACCTTCACCACTAAATGTGCCCACCGGCGGGCCAGGTGTTTCATTTAGTGGCAAACCATCCTCTAGCCATCCATTGCTGCAGGGGGATGAAGAGGATTTTGTACCTTATGAAGAGGGTGGGGACCATCACAGTGATGACGAGAAGCACAACTCTGGTTATAACGAAGACGTAGATTACTCTCACCAAACTTTGGAAAAGTATGGAGAGAACTTGACTACACGCGCGAAGGAAGGGAGAATTGACCCAGTCATCGGGCGAGATGACGTTGTCAGACAATGTATTGAAATTCTGACCCGGAAATCGAAGTGTAATCCCATCCTCATTGGACATCCTGGAGTTGGGAAAACTGCTGTGGTTGAAAGTTTGGCACTCCGGATCGTGAAAGGAGATGTTCCTGATCCTCTTAAAAGATGCAAGGTAATAACCATCGTCATTGGAGTCATGTGTCATGTTTGCTATGTGAGTGTCTCTGCTTTTCCAGGCATTTGCATCCAACTTTCAGTTTTACAAAAATCATGAATGACAATGCGTCTCCATGGGTGGTATTGTAGGTCATATCTGTGGAAGTCGGAAACATCGTTGCTGACACGCAGTACCGAGGACAGTTTGAAAAGAAAATCAAAGAACTAATAGATGAGGCAACAGAAGCCAGGCGAACCGTAATCCTCTTCTTTGACGAGCTTCACCGGATTATGGGCGCTGGTACATTATGAGCTGCATACTCGCTGAATGCTTTCTACTGCGCTGGGAATAGTGGTCCATGTTCGAATCTTCCGGGGGTGTGAAGCCAATGCTGTAGCTAGGTCTAGATTGATGCCTTCCCTTGCATTTGCATGCATATTCTCAGAGATAAAGGTGGTAGATCATTGGTGACCACATGGTTGTGGATTGCAGGAAGGACCGAGGAAGACGCTACGGATGCTTCGCAATCATTGAAGCCTGCCCTCGCTCGCGGAGATTTCCTGTGCATCGGAGCCACAACATATGACGAATACACCAAGTATATCGAGAAGGACCAAGCTTTAGCAAGACGATTTCAGAAAGTGGTTGTCGATCCACCGTCCGCCTCGGAAGCAATTTCCATTCTCCGAGGGCTTAAGACACATTTTGAATCACATCATGGGATATCTATCGCCGACGCTGCCTTGATTGAGGCCGTTAAGCTATCGGAGCGTTACATACCTGATCGTTTTCTTCCAGATAAAGGTTCCATCCTCGCATTTCTTCACGTGAAATTTTAGCTCAAGTGTGTTGGGAAATTGTCTGATCAGCACCTCTACGTGGCATTTCAACCAGAACTGTTTTCTGATTATGCAGTAGTGAGGATCGCAATCTAAAGTTGACGTTGCTCACTCATCCCAATAAGCTGACGTTGGCATTCTTCTTTGTCAGCCATTGATTTGGTAGACGAAGCCGCGGCCAAAGTTAAGATGGGGATCATCTCAAAGCCAACAAAGCTAGACGAGATCGAGCGCGCAATTGTCCAACTGGACATGGATCGGCTTTCTGTGTCAGCAGCAACAAGCCCATCCTCGCAAGATCGTCTCCGTCAAATTCTGTCAGATTTAGAGGGTTTGCGAGCACAAGAAGCAAATCTGACCCGGAAGTGGAGAAAGGAGAAGGCAATGGCAATTCGAATCAATTCCCTCAAAGAGAAGGTGACCACTACCATTCCAACTTGAACCTTGGTATCTTGCACTTTCATTCTCATGTTTCTACTTGCAAGGAAGAGAAACTCTACATTGTGAAATACAGCATAATCACTCAGTGAATTCATTACTGCGTATTTACAGATTACAGAAAAGAAGACCCGTGACAGTACCCCAGCCTCTGTCTCAGAGGAGAAGAGTGGTGGCGATGATGTCGAAGAACACACCGACGTTCTTTGCGACTCTTGTCAAGCAACTCCCATTATTGGACCCCGTTTCACTCATCACACGTAAGTCACTCATGGTAACTACAACATTTGTTTTTCTCAGTATGACCAGATGAGCCCTTGAGCTTTTGTTGCTGTGAAATCATGTACTCTGAGTCATTGCAGCATACTTTCAACGACATCATACTCTCCTTGTTGGGTTTGCATGTGCAGTCAGGACGTCGATTTTTGTCTTAAATGTTTTTCCATTCTGCACATAATCGGCAAGGTCGGTGAATTCACTGCAAGCGACTTCAAGCTGGTGGAACCACCTCGGCTGACGTGTGATGGTTGTTTGATTAACCCCATCAGTGGAGATTATTACAGACACATGAAGTAAGCGGTTATCTGCTCTGTTCATGCTATTCTCTAATTTTTCCAGCATGTTGGATGATCATAGAGCGCTGATACCCGATTCTTTGTTTGACTTGCAGATACCTGAATAACATACTATGTCAGCGGTGCTGGTATAAATTAGGTTACAGCGAGCAACAGCTCTATGCTGTAATGCATAACAATCTGAAGGTATCGAAGAGCGAGCAAAAAAATGCCGAAGGCAACGCTAGTTTAGAGGACCTCGAGGCACAACTTAAAGCTGCTGAGAATGAATGGAATGAATATCAGAAACATTATAAGCCTCTGATTCGTGTAATGGTCACTACCGATGAAATTTTGGAAGTTGTGAGTTCTCGAACTGGTATTCCGGTTACAAAAATGCGAGCATCTCAGACCCATCAGCTTCTGCAGCTGGACAAGGAGCTGCACAAACGGGTCATTGGACAAGACGAAGCTTGCAATTCAATCGCCAGAGCTATTCAGAGGTCACGAGCGGGGCTTTCAGATCCGAAGCGTCCCATTGCTAGTCTCATGTTTATGGGTCCGACAGGGGTAAATTCTTTGCCGCGCGCTGCAGGCTTCGTCTCTATGCTGGACGTCCTACGCACTTGTGACAGTTAGACTTGTTGAGTCTATTCCTTAATGCTGGCTGAGTGTAACAATTCTTCTCATAAACTGCAGGTTGGAAAGACAGAATTGGCCAAGGCGTTAGCATCTCATTTGTTCAATTCCGAGGATGCTATGGTCCGGATTGACATGAGCGAATACGGGGAAAAAGCTAGCATGTCAAGGTTGACGGGTGCCGCGCCAGGGCTACTGGGATATGGCGATGGGGGCCAATTGACCACACCCGTGCGTCGAAAGCCTTTCTCAGTAGTGCTTTTCGATGAGATAGAGAAAGCTCACAACGACATCTTCAACATCTTTCTCCAAATTCTGGACGACGGAAGACTCACAGATTCAGAAGGCCGAGTCGTCAACTTCACCAACACAGTCATAATAATGACGTCCAACGTCGGAGCTGAAAGGATCACGGAAGTGACAACGAACACTAACGCATACGGTTCCAAAGAAGAGGCCTACCAGGTCATGAAGTCGCACGTCATGGAATGTGCGCGAGAGAGATACCGCCCGGAATTCATCAACCGGATTGACGAATTCATCGTGTTCCAGCCCCTCAGCCTTCAACAGATCTGTGAGATCGTCAAACTCCAGGTACAAATCCCATCACCGTAAACCAGTCCACGATCTTGCTCCACACTCGACGCCCGATCCCGCACAGCACATCGTTCTGTATAAAACCCCTTTTTGTTCATATCTTTGTTTCTTGCTCGTGCAGCTGGATAGAGTCAGTAAGCGATTGCAAGACCGCCTCATCAACCTGAGGGTCACCGACAGCGCGGTGCAGCTTCTGTCACAAATGGGGTATGATCCACGATACGGCGCTCGACCTGTGAAACGAGCCATCCAACAAAACATCGAGGATCCGCTCGCGCAAGGCATTCTGAGGGGAGAGTACACAGACGGAAGCACAATCGTGGTGGACACCGAGTTCAGATCACTGCATCCTTCACAAACACCAGAGCCGAGGCTGACATTCCAGAAGGCGTCATGGTGAATTCGGCATCTCCTGCTGCTGCTACCTCAACCCGTCCTGGTCTGGTCCAGATCTCCACAACGGCAGGAGATTGCATTGTGGATTTTTAACTGCTCCAGAGCCAGAACCTGTGCAAATTGTTCTTTACTTTCCAGTTCTTTCGGTGCCGCATCTTGATCACATTGGGCCTCAAGTTTGCATCTTTCCTGCGAGGTTTGGTGTGGTTGCTCTTGTTTACGAGAACCCATAATTTAGATTCATTAGGATTGTTCGTGGTTTTTAGATATAGCTCTCGTAGAATGTTTTCCATTCTCTTTGCAGGGGCCACACAACCTTTGGTTCAGATTCAGTATATGAAAGCTTCTAGTAATCGATTTTTTTAAAAATGATTATTATTATTTTTTTGTTTTTGGTACATTTTCTTTCCACTTTGTAAACAGAGATTGAATCCAACATGTCAGTATGATGTTCCTAACGGAAGAATGTCATTGATTCATTGATCCTTACTTTCTTTCTTATTCTCTTTCTTCTCTGTTTTCATTTTAAAAAATATTTTGTAGATCATATATCAATATTAAAATAGTACTTAACATGTTTTGTATTGGTGACTTGGACTAATGTTTTTCTTTTTCTTTTTAAAAACTAGAATCCTAAATTTTGAATCCTAAATTTTGAATCCTAAATTTTAAATGTTTTTAGATATAGCTCTCGTAGAATGTTTTCCATTCTCTTTGCAGCATGGACATTTTGAATCCTAAATTTTGCTCTTGTACAAGAGTAATCAACCAAAGAAAACTTGCTCCACAACACGGACATTGCATATTTTAGGATATGTGCATTGCTAGACTCGATCCTAATACAAAACTCCATGCTCAACAATTGTATGGACAAGGATTGTATGAACAAGATGAAGGAGGTAATGTTGACAATAAAGTTTAAGTCAAACAAAGTGATCAACAAGTTTCAATGCAACCACTTTGCTTAAAGCAAATACTTAATTTTGATGTATATCTTATAATTCTATTTTTAATAACTTTGGATTGAGTGGATAATTTATATTTTTCTTTTGAGTTGGATATCAAACAAATAGTTAGATTAAATAGTATTATTTTTAGCACTTTAACTCTTTGCTCTAAATATGCTAAGTTTTGAAATATTTCCTATTAGTTTCAAAAGTACTATTTACAAGGCTCTAAGGATGTCTAGATATTCTATTAGAAGTTTTTTTTTTTGTTGTAGTGGCAATCTTTAACTTTAATATATAAATATTTAATACCATTACTTGGGCACTACACAAGCCATAGTATTGTAAGACAAAGTCTCCATCACCACAACAAACAAAAATTTTAAAATATAAATTCCATAACCAGAATGCAAATGAAGGAAGTGAAAGAATAAACAAATGACTTAAATAAGCAAGACAAATCACAACAAAGAAAAGAAAAGTAAAGAAAGATATATAAAAAAAATTATTCAAACCATATGGATTATACGACTATGTGGTATTCTAGATTATGTTATCTTCATCTTGAAGTAACTCAACAATGCAAGAATATTTGTCAAATATATCTAACATATTATTGTGGATCCACTATGTGATGTTATTTAGCATATTACAATAGGTCCACTATACAGTGTTATGTCAATAGATAGTTATCATTTTACATCATAGTATCAAAGTGACATGTAGTTTAGTACCAAACTTCATCCTCATCCTCTCTCTTGTACATTTGTCATAGCAACCACCTTGATTGAAAGCAATTTGCAAATTGATGAATTGGATGAAAAAAACTACATGACATAGAGCTTTGTGATACAATATTTTTTGAGTTCAAGGCAATTGTACAAGTACGTAGATAGATCAAGTTCATGTCCCAACAACACTAAGCCAATAAACAATCAAAATGCAATATGGAGGAACTTGAAGTCCAAACATAGATTGTGCTAAATGTGAGACCTTTATAATACAACTACATTTAAAAATTCCATATTATACAAGAAATGTAGGAGAAGCTTACCAAATTTCACAAACCTTTAAGAGTGATGACTAAGCTCTTCTTACAAAAGAAACTCTACTACTTTTACTATACCATCAATGGATGAAAAGAGAGCTTTCTTTGGGAACTTTTCAATTATAGGAATGATTTATCAAAATATGATAAGAAATGAATAAGAGGAGAATGACATTTCTAATACTAAATGTACTATCTAAATTATGGAATCTTTTGGTGTAATCATTGGGATCCAAAAAATGGGACGAGATCATTGAGGATATAGTATAATCTATACTTCTCAAAGAAGAGATACAAAAAAGAGAAAGAAGTAACTCTCTAATCATTTCTCTTTTTAGGAACAAGCTCAAGAGGTAACCTAGGAGAAAGGTATTCTAAGTAAGTAAAATAAAAATCTAGGATTGATAAATCCAAGAATTCTTGCCAAATATGGAGACAAAAGAAGTATTAGAAGAATAATCTAAAATGCTCTATATGGAATGCAAATGCAATAAGCGCTGGCATGATTGTGGTATTATTGGCTCAAGAAATTTTTCATAGGCCACAAATGCTGGTATCATTATTTTTGGCTCTACATGAACATGAAGCATTGATCTTGGCACTAATCTAAAACTTTGAATATATGTGCATCAACTATGCCATTGACATGCACATCTAAAGTAACAAAAATAAAATTTAGAACTTTGATGGCACTATGTCCATCTAATTATAATGCTACAATAGAGTCGTTAGCTAATCTTGGAGATAAAAAAAATGTATCTCAAAATTTAGATCCTACAAGGAAAGAACAACCTTGTGTTGTAAAGAATGTGGATTGGATTCTCAAGGCAAGTGATACTCTTCTATCTATTGCAACTATGAATAAGAAGGGTTGCAAGTTCAATCTAGATGGAATTAATGTCAATTGAACCACATTCTCCTCCTCAAATCTACACCAAATGTTTATACTAGCTTCAATTACTACTTATAATTCCAATGGTTCTAATATACCCAACCTCTTACCTCCACCTCCATCTATTCACTCATCTTTTGCAACTTCTTTATTTATACATGTTTATATGTGTATGTCCATATATATATATATATATATATATATATAATTTTTAATTCCTTTTTAAAAAAATGGTGGATATAATACTAAAAATATTTAGTATAAAAATTAATATAGTAATAATATTTTATTTTATAATGGTATAAAACCTTTAGTACAATATTAAATAAAGTTAAAAAGTGATAATACAAAATAAGATTTTCTTTAATAAAAGCATGGATGACAATAAATTAGGCAAGTAAAAAATTGAAGCAATAAACATTATTTTATTTAGAAGTGCTGTCTAGACATTGTGAATTCACCACAATGATAATTGTTTCTGATATTAAGTTAACAAAACTTATGAATTAAAGCTAAATCAAAAAATAAAAATAAAAATAAAAATCCTAAATTTTGAATAAATTATTTAATTTAGTTTAAATATTCATTTTATTCTAAATGAAAATATTGATAAAAAAAAAACCACTGAAATTAGTTTTACTGCCTCAAGCATTAATAATGTAAGCGTTAGATTAAAAGGGCTTGGACAATGCATAAAAATATTATACATTAATTTCGAAGAAGATGTTCTTGTATTTATTACTTTAAAGTGTATTTTTATCCGAAATAAAATTACTTTTTTTTATAATCAATGTAGATTTTTAATATTTTATTATTTATTCATTTTCTCTTATAAGTCATCATAAAATAGAAAGTAGACATAGAATGCAATGATCAATTTTCAAATTTCATTTTTAATATTAAGTGGTCACTGATAAATTAATAGAGTGATTTTCCTTGAATATTTATATTTAGTGCATGATTATGAATTAGATATTTCATTTAGATTTTATTTTACTTTTTTGTCTTATTTTTTTCTTAATACAAAGAATATTGAAGTTATTATGTAAAGGCCTGAAATCATCTTAAAAAGTAAGTCATGGAACAATATGATTTGTTTGAAAAACTCTGGCTAATAAAATGTAATTTTGAATTAAACTGATAAAAATATTTATAATTTGATTAATTTGATTAATTAATAAAAATGAAATATTCAGTAATATAAAATTTACGACTTTTTTTTCCTATAAGAAAAAAAAAAATGTTGAAATTTAAATTGTGTTAAATCACCCGTTATTTTTTTTTTGGATATATTTCTTAATGAGATGTTATCTCTACATATCTTGTATGATTTAAATTTTACTAAGCATATTTGAATAAGTTCTAGATTGTTCACATAATTAGATTAGACTAAAAATCACATGAAAATACCAAAATAAAATCTAAAAGAGAACGGTGAGATTTGATTCACAACTTGAACGTGAAGATCCCATTATTCTTTCTAAAAAAGGGTATAAGAAAAAGCAAACAATCATTCATTCACCAACATTTTGAAACCCCAAAAACTTCCCAAAAGAAGCAACAACACTTTGCTTTCGTGGACAGATTGCATATTCTACGACATTTAGCTGTAAATCGCAATGGAATTTTAGATTTTGCGTGGTTTCATTCATGAACATGAGTCACTCCAGAAGAAAACCCACTCATTACCGACAACCAAAATGTCGTTCGACAAACAAAACCAATAAAAATTTAGAGTGTCCTGCTCACCTCGCATTCTCCTCCAAATTTCCTGCGAACCAGAAAATTCAAGGACAGCAGTATAAATAAAAAATGAAAAATAAAAATAAAAAACTGATCAAGTTCCAGCAGCATTGGAGGATATTTCCCTGCGGTGAGCAGTGAATTGAAGCTTATGATAAACTGTTAAACAAAGACCAGCATATGATGTTGCAGCACACTGTAAGTTGCTGCAGTCAGTTAGTCGGTGGCTGTGAACGGGTCCCAAATAACTCAACCCCTAGAAACGCAAACGAAATGCCAGTTCTACGTTTCCGCAGAAGACTCCAGTGGCCCTTGGTAACTCAAGATTCGACTTCTCTAAGAAGCGGTCGAATCTGTTACACGTGTGTGGAATGCCACTTGCGTGAAACCGTGTATTGTGATAGGGTAAAGAAAACCATGGATCAGCCGAGGGAAAAAGGTCATGTTGTTCAGTGGTTGTCGATGAACCCCATAATGTTGAAGAACATCTGCTTCGTGATGTGTGTCTGGTCAAACAACCCGAACGAGTGAATTCCGTTCTTGTAGAAGAACACTTTCACATCCTTACCGGCTCTGTTGAGACAATCTGCGTATCTCGTCTGCAAACAACCCATGATTCACGATCATGTTCCGATTCGGCATACAGTTTAGGATGCTTTAGAATACTGGGTTTTACGAATGTTGAAATCTAGAGGCAAGCGTTACATTGTGGAGTGGAGGAAAACATTCCAACCTCCCAGTCCTGCAAGATGTCGAGTCCGCCGATGATGATAAGCACTGAGGGAAGGGATACATCCGAGAGGTCAGGCGAGTTGCGTCCGAAGATGTTGCAAGCAGGATGGTCACGGTTGGCTCCATGGGGGAGAAACGACTTCCAGTACCAATCCAATCTCTTCACCGACACCATGGGGACGTTTCTCACTCGAATTTCGGCCGGGGTCCTCTCCTGCCCGCCGAAGAACGGACTGAGCAGCATCACGCCTTTAATGCACAACGGACTGATCTCCGTCTCGGATGCTCGAACTGCAACGTGGTGCGCAATGTTGCCGCCCGCGCTGTCGCCACAGAGAAAAACTCTTGACAAGTCGATACATCGGGGGTCGATGCTCCGAGGAAGGCACTGAGTTGCTTGTCCAGATTGAAGCCACTCCAGCGCAGCGAAGCAATCATCGTAGGCGGCGGGGAACTTGTGCTCCGGCGCTCGTCTGCACCTACACATTCTCGTCAAAGGAATACTTGTAACTTGCACAAACGATTTTTATCCTGTGATTGAATTCAACAAAACTCGTTAGCAGCTCTTGCCTGTAGTGCACAGAGATCACTAGCGCATGGCACTTGCGAGCCAGTCGTCGACAGAATGTGTCGTAGCACACAGAGTCGGGACTGAGGAAGACAAATCCACCGCCGTGGTAGAAGAAGATGATAGGGAACAATTTCTGAGCTTGTGGCTTCGATTTCTTATATAAGCTGTATAATTTTCGACTCTTCTGCAGCAGAAACAGATCAAGAATTGGTTCATCCTTCATGATCACGCTTAAACCTTTGATATTCGTGACTGATGCTGAACGATACAAAGTATGAGACAAGTCATGTGAGCGATGTCAATCAAGTCCGTGGGCCCGTTCGGCACTCACCTTCTTCGGAATGAAAAGACGCACCCATACATCCTTTTCGAAGTCGACAATCACATCGACTGTCGACACCCCGCATTTCGCCTGAGGATTCGCCGGGACCTGTGTCCCTAGAAACTTGTCCCATTTGCGGTTCACCGTGCCGTCCTTCCGAATGCAGAGGTTATCAAATGCATGCAGCATCCTCGACAGCAGGCGCAAACTCCACAACTCCATCTGAAATGGATCGGACCAGTGATCGATTCAGAGTAACTCGCCGACTATATCATGAATCCCTACTAAAGTATCAACAAAATCCCACTGCTGCCATCAATTTCCTCACCGATTCTAGATTAGCTCCACCGTATAAGGCATGTGAAGAACTGAATCTGCCGTTCTCATGACCTTTGGTCTTCGAGATACCGATCTTCAAGTTACTTAGGTCGCCATTCAGATCGATAGATAAAAACTTAAGCGACAACCTCTTCGCCTTCACGATTCTAGCCGCCTGTCTGAGAGAATGTGATAAGGATAGAACGTGGGAAGATTTGCAATCCAAGCTCGAGACCTTCATTATGCAACCTATTCTCTTTTAATCATGTCTATGTTTCATTGTGTTATATCAATATTTTTACAATGCGGCATGTTGACTGCGCTATTGGGTTAATTCCTGAGTTGTCTCTTGACTTCTAGTTAATTGATGTTGCGTTGAATCAGTGCCAGTTGATGCTAAATTTCCATGAGCGGTGTTGGTTTGCCTGTACGGAGTTCTAGGTTGATGTGGATTAAGCTCTGGATTTATTTCATGTTCATGAGTAAATTGTGGATAAAGTGTTATTTGAGGTGCATTAAATACAAAATGTTTTGAAATTTTATCAAATATTGTATAGCACGTACTTGTTGACCTGTTAAAAATTAGCTTTACATATAAATGACATATTGACAAATATTTTAAACAAAATTCAAGAAATGATGTCTTCTAGGACCCAAAAATGTTGTATCCATTAATTTTTTCGAAAAAGGAAAATGTATATATATATATATATATATATGTGTGTGTGTGTGTGTGTGTGTGTATATGTGTTCTCAACAAGTATGGTACTCAAAAAGACAACTGCAACGATTTCAACATCATAGTAAATTCGATTTTTTGAGACAGTATCCATCTAAAATTTGGGCACGTTAAAAGTTGTAGAACAGAGGATTACAATTTCAGATATGGTGATCACGAATTAGCATGCGTGTTGGTTTGTTTATTCTACATTTTTTAGACAGGTTGCAAAGTGACATCAGTACATTGAACAACAAGAATAATAATATCACCTTTTGCGGTGCTCACCACAACTTTGTCATATACAGTGACATTTTGATCTGGCAAGTGATGCTTTATACAACATCTGAAACTAGCAAGATTTAAGAGCATAATGCCACCTTAGCATACATCGATTGATGTTGATAGTATTGAACATTAAGAAAAAAGTAATCCTGTCGAAATTTTGAACTTTGAAACTTCGAAACCACACAGACAGAACTTTTTGTAAAACCGTGTTTATTATTTACAGAACAGTCTCCTGAGAAACAAACATAGGATTCCCATGATCAGATTTTATTCTTTGCGACATAAATGACAAGGTAAAACTAGCATTAACATCAGTAGGACATGATAAAATCAATAATAGTTAGATAATTTCCATAGCAGATTTAACTATTCCGCAAAACAAACAAACTTACACAGCGCAGTACAAACTACGAATTGGAGCAAGACATCGGCAACATCTTAATCTGCCATCGGTGTGGGCCGTGCACTGTTTCCGTTCTCAGACAAATGGTGAGGTTTGCCTTCGGGAAGATGTCAGCGATGGAAGCTTTTTGGTGCTTTGTCGCAGGTGCATTGCATTTGCTTATCTGGAAGACGAATGCAATTGTATGCCAGCATACCCATGACGGAGCCAATTATGGGACCGACCAAATATACCCAGATGGAGCTGTAGTTCCCAGAAGCTATTGCCGGACCCAGCGACCTCGCTGGATTCATTGATGCCCCCGATATTGGGCTGTAATCACATCGAGTGCAATAGTTTTGTTCAATAGCAATGATTAAAAAAGTCTGTTGAATCAACAATGCATATACCGTGATTTCACTACATGGGTTGAGATTCTAATGACTGCTGCTAGCAGCGAGGAGGAGAAGGATGGCATACCCGGCCATGAGAGCATTCAACGCGACGGCTGAGCCAATAGCGATTCCAGCTAATTCTCCACACTGAAATTATAGCACATAGGAATTCGGAGTCAACGACATAATCTAAGTGATTGCGATCTGTGAATTGACTGTGCAATCAACCCCGAGGCGCCAAGAATTTCACCGTTGAGCCTGATCATTTAGAATTAGTCTTGTCAAATTAACTTGTGCCTCATGATTCAACGGAAATGCAAAGAAACTCTGATGTCTGGAGAAAAATCATGTTGTGGGAGTTGTGGTAAGAGTCAGATTTGATTGATCTTACTGCTCGAGTGTCCGTGGCGACGGCAGCAATGACGAACATCAAAATAAAGGTGATGACTATCTCTATCAGAAACGATTGAAAATCACTGCCCGCAGGTAACGTAGCGCCTTCGGAGGCGGCTGGATGGAGAATCCACCGTAACAAGAACGACGCCGTGAAGGCTCCGCTACACTGTGCTGCTATGTACAGTGGAACCTGACACACGCAGGATAAATTAGCTTCCATAGGATCATCGAAGCTACAGTCTAAACTAGGGTACAACGTGAAAAATTCTCAATCATTATGAGCGATTTTTTGACTAGAAAATGATTAAAAAGCAGATGACGCAGGTATGTTTGCATCGCTGTGCCTTAATTTGATAGTTCAAGAAGATTGAGTAAAGCATTCCGTTCTCAATTTCATGGCAGGAGAAACTGGCCCACCTGGGACCAGGAGAAGTGTTTCGCGACAGCAAACGCAAGCGTTACGGCGGGATTCATATGAGCACCCGAAACATGGCCGACCGCATAGATCATTATTGTGACAACAAGTCCGAAAGAAAGGGATATCCCCACAGGAGTCACTTTGCCATTGCTAATGACGTTCACCATAGCCGCACCGCATCCCATGAAAACGAGAATGAAGGTACTGATCACCTCGGCTATCAACTGTGTGGAAAAGCCACAAAAAGTAAGCATTCGCATATTGTAGAATGTAGTATGCTAAACTCAAGCGGAGGTCTACGATGTCCTGGCTCTTCCACAAAATGCAATCGGAGGAAACGAATTTACGAAGTGGTTCACATCTTAGTAAACAAGGGAAAAGCATCCTCTTTGACCATATTGGCGCCACCTTAGCATGCAGTAAAAAGAGATGCAACGGCAGTGGAGCAGCACCTTTCGTACTAGCGAAGTGCGTGGCCTGAGCGATGATGTGAAAGTGCTGAATCGTGAAGGATTAACATCTTGCGCATGAACGATAGGAGCTTGACCATTATGCTCCATGTCTAGAGATCTTTTACTGCAGGCTGCAGTTGATGTTCTATCTTCAGAAAAGAGGGGCGCTGGAGCTGGGGGCATGCGGATATTGATTTCTTCCATGCCGTAAGACCAAGCTAATTTTCAAGCGTCGGAAATTACGGGTCACCTCCACATCATCGGATGAACTCCGCAACCTCAACCTGACCTAAGATATCACTTTCCACTCAGATGGCAAATCAATCATCACTACATGGTGCACTTTATTATTTTACTTGGGTGAACGGCCGCCGCATTGCAGTAAGCAAAAAGAAATTCCTGCTTGACTCTGCGATTCAAGGTCCCAGTAAAATAAAAAAATTGACTATGTGTTTGCAAACAAACGCGCTTTTAAAGCAGCTGGTTTCTAGAAATTCACACTCTAACCTACAAGCTTCCGCAACAGAAGATGAAGAACTAAACATATCATTGCAATGGTAAGAATTGAGGTCACGGTCCAAGCTCAATCCGACTTCTAGTCTACCTCTACCAGTTACAGCCAATTGCGTTAAATATTATCAAATTGCTATTGAACTTTCACCATGCTAATGACCAGTAGCAACCATGGCCTCTAGCCACCCTTCCACTGATTCCTATTCACAAGAATTGAACATCAGCGCAAAAAATCAGAAATTAAAGTCGGTCAAACCTATCATATAAATGCCACCGAACAGGAAGTGGTCAGGGAGGGGTGCTTCTACAGTATGAGGTTTTCGTAAATGAACTGTATGCGTAATCCTAGTGGCGATAGAGATTGATTGCACAAAAGACAACTGAATGCGCAAGTCATCAGAATTCCTAATACGATGTCCAGCTATAGAAAAAGCTTGAGCTTAGAATGCCAACCACCTACCGGGGATGCCAAAGACCGAGGTCGCTGTTCAATACGAAGGAGGATGTATCTTTACTAGATCTAACTCGCACCCCCATTACCACCGCACAGACGGAAACAACCACAGCAGAGCAGTTGGCAACCAGGAAAACACCCACATCTGCCTCTACCAATGAAACCTCTCCCTTTCGCAAAACTAAATTACTTAGCACAAGTTGCCTTCCCGGTGCGCCGAATCAACACTTCAAAAGAGAATAGCTCATTCAATTCACGGAAACCAAAACAAGATCGCTCACAGTGTCACACATCCACCAGCAGTGGTTGAGACTAAAGTGATTGTGATGCCAGTGCGGCGATCAGAGAGCGGGTGACTGTGCCCAACTTAGAAACACGCCGCAGCAACTTGTCAGTTAATCAATCAGCCAGTCAGTCAGTCAGCCAGTCAGTGTGTATGTGTGAGTGTCTGTGCATCATCACCAGTCCAACGAAGGTTACGAAGCGAGCAGGTTCCAACTCACCGCAGCGATGGGACTGCGTCATGGTGGGGGTGGTGTCAATGCCTCCGCACGCAGGTGTACATGGCAATGGCGATGGATATAGATGGACCCGTCTCTGCGTGGAAATCCTTCCATGACCATGTACTCACTCCTCCAAACCTATTCATCACTTGATTCTCCAAAGTCAGTGGATGTATCATCGCACTAGCGCAAAACGTTGTATATGAAAGCATTTCTAGAACCAAAACGTTGTTTTGATTTTAAAATAATAAGTGAACTGCAGTAGTGATTTTACTTATACAATTTATTAATAATATTCAAACACATATATAAATATATATGTATATATACACACATGGATATATATATATATATATATACAAACAAACATTACCCATATTTTTTTTAAGTGCGCAACGGTTTTGAATGGAGCCGATAAAGGGCCATTGTACCGAGAGGGTGGTGACGAGGCTGGAAGGAAATAATCCAGTCCATTTTGAGAAGGGGGTTGGTTGAGAGTCGAACTTGCGATCGGTCACTGCGCCATGTTGGACCTGGTCCGTATTGAATTCACTCACAAATTCAATTCAGTGAGCACGAGGAGTTTGGCTATCTTGTTCCCTCCCTATAAAAACCTTGTTCCCAATGAAATCACAGCCGTAACTGCTCCGTTCCCAGGTAGAGGTCCAAGTTACTAGTAGTTAGTTCCTCACGAGCCACGTTACTAATAGTGTATCTTGTGAACAACCTTGACTTTATAATTTTATTGAATATATATATATATATATATATACATATATTATTCTTTATATATCTGAGTCTGCAGATTTTGAATATTTTTCTTAAGATGTGATGAACCTTTTTATGAATTTTTTGAATTTTCATGTTATACAAAACTTCTGTCATGTCTCATTCTTTAATTTTTATTCATGTTTTTTAAAAAAATTTCAAATAAATTTCTACGTGAAAATTTTATGTCTGGTAGCTTTACATGAATATTTATACTTAAGTTATTGAAAGTAGCAGCTTTTATTATTGCATTGTGCGTAGGTTTTGTCCAAATTATGGTTAATTTGCAGAATCAAAAAACATGCATTTGTGATTGTAAGTCTACAATATAACATTAAATAATTATTACTCTTCAATTTTAAAAATTTTCCTCTTGATATTTTTTAATAAATATTTTAATTTCGTATTTTTTTATCACTATAATTTTTTTTAATGATTTAATGAAAACACCTTTTCTTTTTTCCTTTTTATTTTATTTTTTATAAATCAGTTATATCTGCCAAACTTTGATCTTGTCCAGAATATCAAAGGTCCTTTGTTTGTTTAAATTGCAATTAACATCATGTACTTGTTGATGATAAAAAAACATAAAACACAAAGCATAAAATCAAATAACTAGAATATTAACAAAATCCATTAGAGCGTGAAACAAATGAGTATTTCACTTTTTTACATTTTGAATGTCAACCATCTTTCAAAGCTTACTAATCATATTTTTCAGACCTTCACATTAAAAGACCACATTTCACACAGTCATTGCACTCAAAAGAAGGCCTGGTGCTTAGTTATGATTGTTTTATTTCTGAAAATCGATTTTTTTTTTAAAACTTTTGTTTCTATTATATTGGAGTTTACGTTAAAACATGGTTTTGTCTCAATGTTGGTTTTACGTAAACTCCAATATAATAGAAACAAAAGTTTAAAAAAAAAATCGATTTTCAGAAATAAAACAATCATAACTAAGCACCAGGCCTTCTTTTGCTGCAAATGAGATCTCACCCCTTCTTAGTGATTTCTACACACACACTTATACGTTCAGATTATTACTATAATTACCACCATCCTCGTCTTTTGTTCTTTCATTCAATCATTTGCTCTTTCCTCCTCATTCATGAAAGTGGTGAGTTCTAAAAAGCAACAAGTGAATGAAAGCAGCAGCAACAACAACAACAAACATCACAAAAGCTTTGCCTGATCAAGAGCACCACGTGAGACTAACAGCGAGGAAATATGGGTGGCATGTTTCTACACCCGCTGCGGAACTGCTTCGAAAGGCATTTCGTTTCAAACAAATTCAAAATCAAAGCAAGGTGAAAGATGAATGGTCATGCACCCACCTTCAGTTGCGATTGCAACAAGCATGAGAACTCACAGGCTTGCATCTGAAACCATGGACCTCCGGTTTGGGAGCTCTGTTAGCTCAACCTCGAGCACCATCAATTGGTACAGAACTCATGTTTTGTTTACTAGCAGCAAAGCTTGACACAAAGCTGGTTTGAATCATTGTCGATAAGTCTCCGGGGCTCACCTGTTGTTTCTACTGCTGTGAATACTTTTCTCCCGCGTTCACAGAATTCTCACATCAAGGATCATGCATTGGGATCAATATGGGCCTTGTTTGAAGTAAATGAGGCCCATGTGCACTTCGCTTTGGCATGCAGCAAACCAGATGCACGTCCACAACGGTTGCTCACCACCGATGTGTCTGTTGGTACCCAACAACCTTCTCATGTGTGTTCCTGTCGGGGATGTGCATACGGGGTCGCGTTTGTGGTTAATCTGCATATACGGTAAAGCTGAATAGGCTTGCGGTGTTCATTGGTAACACGGTGATCGAAAAGTGAGCAGAATTTTTTGACCCGCACGACATGCGTGAATGGTCCGCAAGGACACCCAGTTTCTATCGCATGACGGAGGAGCCCCCACGACTATGATCAGTGCAGCGGGGGGCAAGTCACGTTATGTCCATTTGACAACCATGTGACCCTCGCAAGGGGTAGGACAAGGTACTGTAGCTCGACCCCGCAACCAACGCTCTGCATGCAAACCAGATTCTAGTTCTGAACCCTTTCTGAATGGTGGAATAGAAAAGCGACAGAGATGTGCAGAATTGTTCGCTGCTGATTGCTAGATTGCAACAAGATAAGAATCGCACTGCCAACCTAGTCAGTTGTAAGAATTCATCGGCTCTGCTTTGTTTACACCTCCAGAAAGGGTCACTGACATTGAATGCATCCACTCATCTTGAGTGCCTGCATCGAGGGTATGAACCATCACCGATGATGGCAAATATCACCGGCTTCTGTGTACATGGTTCCAATGATAATTGCAACTTGGGAAACTGATTAACGTCAAATCTGGAATCAGACTCACCAAGTATCACAACAAGACTTGGAAGGGATCAGACGATAATTGCAGTGGTTTTCTGATCCTTTGCATCTGAGCTCAAGGTGTGTTTGTGAATGGTTCACATTTCAATGGGGAATATGACGTGGTGAGTTAGATCTGTGGTTATTTGATATGGTTGCATAGACGCAGAAATGGAGGTAGTGGATTGTAATGCTTTGGTAGTTAAGAAGTCAGCCATGAGTATTCAACAATGGTTTGTGTGTAATATTTCTCTTCATGCAGAAGAGTTGGTGTTCTTGATCAGACAATTTCGAGCCAGTATCAAATAGCTTTATTTTCATAATAATAAAGATACTCAAATCATAATGAACTTATAATTGTAGGACTATTGAAAAACTCTCATGTTTAATGCAACTTGTTCGATAAGAACTGGTTTTTTTTATATTATTATTGAAGACATTAAAAATTATTAAAATATCTCTTTATTTTAAAAGGTCATCTTATTATACTCTTACAATATTTCTTTAAAAGTTAAAAACTATGTTCTTGTCTAATTTCAAATAAGACAAGTAAACACTTCATCTTAATCCATTTATTATGTAGATATTCCATTTCTAAAAATGAATCTCCAAAGTTCTTTATATTATCTTACCTTCAAAATTGTCAAAAAATACCATTTTTAAGAAAGTGACTTCAAAATCTTTTTTTTTTTTTTAGTATTTTTAATACTTTCAATGATAAGATCTTATTTCTAACTTATATTAAGATCAGTCTAATAAATCTTAGGTGTTGAAGATATTGTATGTGGAAGATCATAACATTCAAAGTTATAAATAAATAAATGGTATTACTTAAAAGACATGATGAGACTTATATTAAGCACAATTTCTATTCATAACTCCAAAAAAATTAGAAGAATTTATTTGAAGATATTCTTAAGTTGAGTATATACATGCAAAAATCTTAGACCAAGAAGACATATAAAGCACCTTCAATTAAAAAAATTCAAGAAGTAGGTAGTTAAAAAATTAATAACAAAGACATTATTTCTAAAAATCATATTATTTTTGAAAAAAATTTATTCAAAAAAAAGATGGTAGATAAAAGTACTTTTACATGTTTTAGAAGGTTATTAATGATATATCTCTAAAATGTATTAAACAATTCTATAATACAAGTCTTCATTGCCAATAAGGCAAACAACCTTGATTCTATAATAAACCTTTCTAATCATTTTTACAATATATTATCTTTATAAAAAAATTTGTGTCAATTGTAAAAGAAATCATTTCAATGTTTTTTGGCACAAGAACTCTATAGCCTAAAAATTTCTTTACAATTGACCTCATTTATATTATAACAATCATCCATCCGGTTTTTACAATTGGCCTCATATACATTTTAACAAACTTTAGTCTGAGCTATAAAAGTCCTTCACTTCTAAACTCCCTTCCATTGTAATAGTTCTTCTTCTAAGCTTTAGAAGTCTTGTTTTAAGTTCTCTCACTATAGATCCCTTCTTTTCTATGTATTATAACAATCTTTTCTCAAGTTTTGATGATCGTATCCTAAGTTTTTTAATTATTAATCTTCTCTCTTCTTTCTCCATATTATAAAAATCTCTTACTCAAGCTTAGTAGATCCTACCCTAAACTCTTTTACTACTAATCTTTTTTCTAATGTTGTAATAATTCTTCACTCAAGCTTCAAAGATCCCACCTTGAATTATGATGATACTTCTCCTTCCTTATATTGTAATAATTTCTTGTCCAAGCTTTAAAATTCATGGCTTGAATCCCTCACAATTAGTCTTCTTTGTATTATAGCAATTTCTTACTTAGAATCCAAAATTTCCA